ACAAAAAAAAACATTAGGTAGAAACTAAGGAAACAAAGGAAATCTGGATAAAATACACATGGACTTCAGTTACTAACGTATCAGTACTGGTTCATTAGTTGTGACAAATGTATCTTACTCTGATGTGAGACGTACATAATGGAGGAAATGGGATGAGAAGTACATGGTAACTTTCAGTGTTATCTTTGTCACTTTTCTGTAAATCTAAAATTATTCTTTAAAGTTTATCCTGGGCTTTGGCACCAAAAAAAAATAATAATAATAATAAATAAAAATAAAAATAAATAATAAAATAAGATTTCAAGTTTATTTAAAAATATAAGAGGAAAGAAATTTTAAGACATACCACTGTAGGTAATGAATTTTATCCTCTTTAATGTTCTTTGAAAAATTCAGGTAAGGATCCGTATTTATTTTAATTATATTTTTCTTGCTGAACTGTTTCTTTTAATACAACACAATTTCAAAGCTAGGCTTCCTGGGGTTTGGGATCTATTCAAGTTTCAACATCAGCACCCTAAATCTGTGAAGAACTCAAGAAGGGCTACTTCCTTTTGGAATGTTCTGGAAGCCTCATATATGCTGGAAGGCAGGAAATCGTCAGGACAGAATGTCAGGAAAGTTGACCGAAGTTCCTTCCAGAGGTGACTTCCTAGGTGCCCCAGTGGGCCTGGAAACCCTTAACAGAGCCGCCATTCCCATGGCTCTCTTAGCTGACACGTGCCTAGTCTCTCATTGAATCCAGTTATGGAAAAAAGATGAAGAGCCCATTTGGCTCCCAAACACCTGGAAATTAGAACGTCTGTGGAAGATGTGGGGGCCCCTTATCCACATGCCCAGACAGTTTGGACATTTCCCCAATCCACATCCATGCCAGCCACCTCCTGTTCTCTTCCTGGAGAGCAGGGAGTGAGCAGACTGTGCAAACAGGACGTAGCAGGCCTGAGACTGCGTCCTGAGACTGCCGTCCTGGGAAAAGTCTGCTGGCGGGGAGGCCCGCGTTGGGGTCAAGGCGCTCGGCTTTCGGGAGTGCTCCCACTGTTCCCAGAATTTATGAGTGACTGTGCCTAAACTTCTTGTACAAACGATGGGGTTCGTCCTAAACACCTGTTTCCTTCTGAGAGCCTGGAATTTTGATGTGTGCTAGGCAGAAGATGCCTACGTGACTGGCACCCCATAAAAAGACCTGAGTCTCTAATGAACACTGGGTCTTTAATGAGCTTCCCTGATCAACAATTATTTCCCATGCATTGTCACAACTTGTTGCTGAAGGAATTAAGTACATCCTGTGTGACGCCACTAGGAGAAGACTCCTGGAAGCGTGGGCCTGCTTTCCTCAGGACATCACCTCATCTGGCCTTTCCCTTTTGCTGATTCGACCTTGTATCCTCTGGCAGAAATAGATAATAGCCATGAGGATAGCTGTATGCTGAATTGTGTGAGTCCCCCAACAAATCACTGAATCTGGGAGGTCTTGGGGACCTCCTACACAAGGTTATCCCTACCTATAAAAATAGCATAAAGGTTTTTCTTGATTCAGATCTTCACTGGAAGAGGCACAGAGGACAGTATGAATAGCTCCATTTGATCACTGAGAATATAAGCACAGAGAAGGTAGGCAGCATGAGTGAGGTTTCACAGCTAAGATGGCAGGACTGGGATTAAAACTCTGGTTTGTCTGTTTCCACGCCCCAGTTCCTTGCGTTGGTGACAGTCTTATTGCTCAAGGTTGGGAATACCTCCCTTCTCTCTACCTTTTATTTCTTTCCTCTAAACTCTGGGAACTTGTCTGGCAGGTCTGACAGCACTGAGTGGTAAAACAGGAGGTTGGGAGGCATCGATTCCAGCCACGCTCCTTCCTACCCGCAGATAACTTCCCCGCCCCAGCCCGATGTCCTGCTCCACCCAAGCCTGGCCACTTCGTGAATTGCCTTTTCTCCTTGTACCCACCACCATCTCCCTCAACTCCTTTGTTTTAGAATCTTTTGAGGATCATCTTTATCCTCAGTATCTTCTGAGTGTCTCTTATATGCCAGAGACAACGGTGGCACCTATGGGCCTTGGCCACATGGGGCTGCTCCCTAACACATTCATTGAAGAAATACTCAGGATCAGGCACTGCAGGAGACACAGCACGGCACCCCCTCCAGGAGCAGGGAGGGGATGTACGCCCGCATACTTTTTCTTTTTCCTCAGGTTTGGATCTCCAGGTCTGAAATCTCAGAAGCAATCGGTCTGGTCCTGCCTTCCCTCTGTCTTTCTGTTTTCCCACCTGAATGTAAGGCGGTCGCAGGCAAGAGGCCTGCCATGGCCGCCTCTGTACTCATCCCCGCACCCTTGCGCCCGGCCGCCGCAGGCCATGCAAACGTCTGCACACTCGGCAAGGGGAGTCGCGTTTTCCTGATCCCGCAGTCATGCCTAACTTGTGGAAAAGGATTCTTCCAGCCAAGGTACCCTGAACAATTATACTTTGGTTTCTCTTCAGACCATATACATCTTTCACCTTTTACTAAAATACCTTGAAAAACTATACTACATATTTGGGGCTAAATGTCTCTCTGTGAGATTTTAGCAAATAACTGTGGTGAATGGGAAAGACTGGAGATCTGGGGTCTATGGATTTAAGATATTTTCTCATTCTTTTCTGTTTGCCATGTCTCCTCAAATCTAGAAGCACCGTCCGTGGTTGAATATATCCCTTTGTGTACCATTAAGAAAGAAAAGCCCTGCCCAGTGGAGCTCCGTTGGTTGGGCGTTGTCCGCACACTGAAAGGTCACCAGGTCTCCTCCGGTCAGGGCACAGGCCTGGGTTGCAGCCCGGCCCACGGGTGGGTGTGTGCGAGAGGCAGCCCATCAGTTTTTCTCCCTCTCTTTCTTCCTCTCGTCCCCTCTTTCTAAAAAAAAGAAATAACTCAAATTATTTAAAAAAAGAAAAGAAAAGAACACTCAAAATTATAATTGTAGGATGCATCCCAGTTTTAGAGATTTTAAAATTTGAACTATTGGAAGCAATGAATATGGTATTTTTAAAATTGTGATATAAAATAAAAGGAGGAGGAAAAATTGCTGAAGTCTTACCTAATTAAAGCAAGCCATTTTATTTGTATCTGTTATTAGACGTTGAATATCTTCAATATTTCTAATGACATTTTTTTACAGTTATGAACCATGTACAGGGTCCGGCAGAAGTAACGTCTGCTTGAGTGTGGTTGGTAGGGTAATAATATGGGTATAATAATTTATAGTTGTAATTTGAACATTTCACCTAAAATGTTCTACGGTGTGCTTGAGTGTGATATTGTGATGTTACAGAATTACATGCTTATGATTTTGTACTAAAGGGGCATTATTTGGGTTGGACCCTGTATAATAATACATTTAATATGTATTATGTATTAAATATATATACTTACAAGTATTTGTAAATATAGGCATTTATGTTGTACATTTCTAAGTATATTGGCATTTTTATTATGCAATGCACAGTGTTTGGGATACTGTATAGATGTCCATGTAAACAAAGCTGACCCCGTATTTGTGTGTCCCCTAATTTCTTCCTAGTTTGTATGCTGAGGACTCTAGTCTCAGCCAGCACCAAAGCCTCATAGTTAATGATAAGCTGTGTCCTGCAACCAAGATTCCTGCCAGTAAATGGCCAGAATGGAATTGCACCTGAGGTAAATATCAGACTAGGTACTGGCATCAATTATAAGCAATTATCCATCCCAAGACCAGTGTGAGGCACGGTTCCTTGCTCAAGCTGCGTTCTTTGTCCCTTTGCCTTGTCAATCGTGAGTAGTTCAGATAGACTATAAAACATTTACTGTACCCACAGCAGAGTAGCAGAAAAGAATCTGCAGACTGCTGGGTCATCTTTTTCATTCCTACCCAATCTTCCCTGTAAGTAAATTACTCTACAATAAATTCTGTCATATTCGATGACTTTGCCTGCTTCATTTCTTGGTCCTAAGACACCTTACGGGTCAGTGGTCACTGCGCTGCCACTCCACCTTCACACAGCTACACAGCCCTTCCTCAGAGTTGACCATTGTCAGCAGCTAGCTGTGCATGTCTCCAATTGTGTGTATATATATATATATATACACACACATACCTATGTATATATGTATATATACACATATATATTAAAAATATAGTCTGTCTGGAAGAAGTCCAGCCATTGTTAACAAGGACAATTTGTGCAACATCGATGTAACCTGGAAGCCAAGGAAAATGGACTGGAATGCACATGCGTGAACAGTGACAATGTCACTGTACTAGTCAGTAGGGGCAGTAGACGCCATTGACTGGGCATGCGTGCTGTGTGGCCGTCGCATTCAAAATGACTGAGCAAATAGAGCAAAGAATCCTCATCAAATTTTGCCTTAAGCTTGATCATTTCTCCACGGAAACTACTGGGATGATTCAGAAGACCGCAGCTACGGGCAACTAGTGATTGACAGCTTCATCACCTCTGGTACAGTTTTTTGGCAAAACATCAAATCACCCAGGTGACTCAGGCCCCCTACAGCTCAGATTTGGCGCCAAGATTTCTGGCTTTTCCCAAAACTAAAATCATCTTTGGAAGAGAAGAGATTTCAGTCGATGAAATACAGGAAAATATGACAAGGCAGCTGATGGTGATTGGGAGAGCTGTGCGAGGTCCCAAGGTGCCTACTTTGAAGGGGACTGAGACGTCATTGCCCTATGTATAATGATTCTGGGTTGAAGAGACAGCGGGTGAAAATCTGGATTAGAGAAATGGACGGAAGCTGCCGAGCCTGAGGGACGTTTTTGGGGGTGACGAGCCATGGGCTCAAAGTGAATGGAGGAGCTGGCAGGAAGTCCCCAAGAGCGGGGCAGGGGCGGGGCCTCCAGGGCTGGGGCGGGGCCTGGGGTGGAGGCGGGGCCGTAGCCTGCGGGTGGGGCCAACCGGTAGGCAGGCTCTGGACGAGAGGGCGGAGCCTGTGAGCGGGCGTTGGGAGCGGCGCTCTGCGGCGGAGGCGGTGGCGGCGGCGGAAGATGGCTGCGGCTGAGGTGGCGGACACCCAGCTGATGCTCGGAGTCGGGCTGATTGGTGAGGACGCAGGCGCCCTGTCCCACAGGCCCGCACCCCAGTTCCGCCTCCGCCTGGGCCCCGGGCGGACCCTGATCCCACCGCTCGCGGAGGGGAGGGCGCGATCCCCTCCCAGTTGGGCCTGGGCGGAGGGCTGCGCGGCCCGACCTCCTCGACGCGGGGGTTCGACCAGCGGCCCTGGGCCCTTCCGCCCGCGCCTTCGCGTGGCGCCCGCCGGGGTCGGGCGGCGGGGCGGAAGGATCCCCCAGGCCTCTTAATTCCGAGGGAAGCTCCTCCTGGACGCCCCGGGCGGCAGACGAGACTGGGCGTGGAATGGAGGGTGACCGAGCTCCTGCGTCTGCGAGGGGGCCTCTGCTCAGGCGGGACTCTGACGGGGCCGAGCACCGCTCTCGGGCGCCACAGCGGGGAGGGGGGAGGGCCGGGGGCCCCTTAGAGGGTGGGGGAACCAGGCTTGACTACCCGCCCGGCGCCCGACTGGCCTGGATCATGTGATCGAGCGGTTCGAGACCCGGCGGCCGGCTGCACCGGCCCCGGGTACTGCGCGTTTTGCGTGGATTATGTCCATTTAACTCTCCCCTCGGCTCCAGGGGTGTGAGTAACGTTTGATACCCACTTTACCCAGCAGCAGCTGGAGGCCCCAGGTGTCACTTGTACACCGACGCACGCTACAAAGTGGCGGGGCCATGATTGGAACCCTTGCAGTCTAGCCCCCGCGCCCCAGCCTCAGCCAGTGGAGGACTCCTGCATCGTACGATAAAGCTTGTGCACGTAGCACGGGTGTCTGCTTAAGCACGCTGGGTGGGATGCCGTTGGTTTTGAGGATGAGGAAGTACGTTGGGACCTTTGGGCAGCCCAGAATGTGTGTCTGAGCCGTGCGCAGTGTTTCAGTGTTGGGTGTTTTCAAGGAACCATTCATTCGACATGGGGCAGCGAGCACGGGGTTGCTTGGTTCCCTGTGTGCCATTGCCCTTTGAAAAAGTATTATTCTATTGAGATTTTTACAAAACTTCTCTAGGTACTCTGTATCCCAAATGTACAAGAACATTGGGTTAAGAAAAACCTGGCAAAATGTACTGATTACTTTTAAGTGTCTCCATGAGTGCTTTTATGTGGGAATGGCTTCGTGTATTCCTCTCTTTTTTTTCTTAAATCATTTTTTTATTTTTCAATTACAGATGGCATATATTAGCTTCAGGTGTACACCCCAGTGATTAGACATTACACAACTTACTACGTGATCATCCTGATAAATCTCGTACCCATCTGAAGATTTCTAATGTGATTTTAAAACTGCTTCAAAGCAAAGCTTAAGTAGCTTGGGCACCTTAGTGCTGCCTGAAGTACTTCTGAATTAAGGCAGAGTTACACTATGACTTTATTTGGTAACAGTGAAGAAAAAGATGGCTTACAATCCTTTTCAATTCAGCAGTTTTTAATTTTCCATGTTGACTTGAAAAATAAAGGAATTTTCTTCAAAATAAGGGGAGGAGAAATGCCCTTCCCCCTTATGAACAAGGAGGGCCAGATGTTGAGAATTGCTGAAGCTGAGTGACGGGGAGGAGGAATTTTTCATTCTCTGCTTTTTTTATACACTTGACATTTTCCATAGTAAGTTTTTTAAGTCTATAGATCAAAATCTAGATTCTTACTGCTATATGTGCAATAACTTTCTAAAATTTAGGCTATCTTTGCATGGAGTTTTTATTAATAGATTGCTTCTGTTATTGAGGTGTTTATTTTGATGATGATATTACATGTGTGACTGGATACACTTTATTATTATTATTAAAATTTTAAATAGAAAATGTGTACAATCAGTATGTAGCATGATCTCCTCAGGTGGCCTAAAAATCAAGGTCAGGAAAGCTAGGTTATGTGAGCAGTAGAGGTAGGTGGGAACTGGGGGCCTCACGTGCTGTGGGTTGCTTTGTAAAATGGGATGTTAAAAGTGATTCCGCTAAGTGCTTCTGAGTAACCAATCAATTCACTCCCTTGCTGCTGTTTGACATTCTCACAGTGACCATCTTTCCACCGTAGAAAAGGACACCAATGGAGAAGTTCTGTGGGTGTGGTGTTATCCTTCCACGACAGCTACTCTAAGGAACCTGCTGCTGAGAAAATGCTGCCTTACAGATGAAAACAAGCTCCTCCATCCCTTCGTCTTTGGTCAGTACAGAAGAACATGGTTTTATATCACAACAGTTGAAGTTCCAGATTCTTCAGTTTTGAAAAAGGTATGACTGCATAAAGGTCAAAAAACCAAAAATATTTGAAATGATGTAAGATTATTTCAGTAACTCTTAGCCTTAGATTTTATTATTCAAAATTCACTTGAAAAACATTAAATATGGTTTTCATTGGGTGTGTTACATGACTGACCCTGTTGTTGGTGTAGGGAAGCCTTTTTCAGGTTATACACTGATGGAGGAGAAATGTAGAAATAATTTCAATGTAATGACTCTGATTAAAAGTGTGAAGAAGGATTTTTTCCATCATTAAAAACTATTGTAGAGGATATAATTGTCCTTTACTTAGTTAGGAAAATCTTTTTATTCATTTATGGATAGTGAGGCTATACTAAGAATAGAAAGGATAATTAAGGAAACTCATGTATTCAGTAGGTTTTTTCTTGTGTCATTTAATATGGACAGGATCAATGTGACAGGTTGAAAACCACTATGTGGTTGTTGTGAGCTTCCCAATCCCGAACGTCTAGCAGGGTTTTTCAAAGAAAAGAATATTGGGGAGTCAATGGCTGGGTTCCTAGCATGTTTCTGAGTGGAGGATTCTTTTACCTTTTCAGGGATAATTTTAGAGCCAATAACCTGACTGTATGAAGCATATCCAAGATAGCAGTTTAAGGAACTGCATTTAGAAAAACAGGAAGGCAACAATTTAGAAACTGTTATAGGCTTAAGACAAAACAGAGATTCATAATTAGAAAATGTAAATTTGCAGAAAGATAGTTTTCCACCTGTTATTAAATCTCTCGTTTATGTTCATTAAGTTTTTGAGGAAAAATTTTGATGTATCCTCAGGGAGAGTTATTATGTTTTACACTACAGACTGCCAAATTACAGCAACAGTGATTTCAAATCTGTTTTTCAAATTTGAAAAATAACGAGATTTTAGATTTTACACTTCAAGATATGATTTTTGAAAGTATTTCTTAAATGTTTTGCTTTTATAAAGTTCTAAATTTTGTCTCATCAGTGGGAATCATAGATATATGATTATCAGAAATTTATATTTATGATGATAGAGGCATATAAAAAAATGAAGCTTATTATAACAGCACCCTAGATTATATAGCAACCCACAGAGAATAAACTATTTCAGGAACTCTATAATTTTTACTGTAAGAATTTTACTGACCTTTTTTTGTGGTTTTCTATCCTGCTATTTCATTAAAGAGAAATAGTTCCTACAGTGGTAGGTCTGATAGAGCACACCTAGTTCTGCTTTGATGAGGTTAAGGGCTTTTAAATAAAAATTCACATTTTTTATATTTGAAATGTTTTTGTTTTGAAAAAATAAAGTGTTACATTCTTATGTAGTAAATTCAATATATGTACAGTTACATATAATTTTTTATATTTGTGGATATACATAGAAATGTATAAAGAAACAATTGAGGACTTTGTTATATTTTGGTCTTCTTCTTTTAATGCTGGTACATCTTGTACAAGAGGTTTTTTAGGATAGAATAATAAAAGTTAATTCTAGTAAAGTATCTTTAAAAAGTTTACTTACTTTTGTTTCTTTTGGACAGGTGACTCATTTTTCTATTGTTCTGACCGCCAAAGATTTTAACCCAGAGAAATATGCCGCCTTCACTAGGATATTGTGTAGGTCTGTATGAAAACTGTACTAAATGCTAATATACAAAAATGAAGATCTTAGTAGTTACATAGCAGATTTCTACATCGAGGAAGCAGAATTCAGCCCTTTGTCTCGCCAACTTAATCTTTATTGGCCCTTCGAAAGCTGTTTTATAAAGAGGAACTTTCTCTTCTGCTTCAATGATATTGCTCCTCTTATTTGGGAAAATGGAAGAGAGGAGGAGAAAAAGCAGTTTGCACAACTAGTGTAGTTCCTGGGTGTTTTGAGTCACTTGCCATTTTTGGTCTATTTCTCCTCATTTCCAGTCCAGAACTTGCCTGAGCAGAATGGGTAAGTGAAGTGCTGTATGAAGGGGCAAGCTGCTTCATACGTGTCCAGGTCTCTGTGTGGGAGTCATTTGGAGGGGAGTTAGTGAGCATTTTGAATTACACTGAAAGCACAGGAAAACATTCCTTAGCTGGAATGCTGAGAAGCTGAAAAACTGATTAATTGGTTAAGTGCAATTCAAGTAGACTCCTTTAGTTTCATCCTAGCTGTTGAAAAAAATTTATCTAAAATACACCAGTGTACTTGCCTCAGTAAGTAAATCTAATAGACTTCATGGAATCTTTCTTATGTGTTAAGAATGGTGGCTTTTTCTATAATGAATACTTTTTGCAGGGTTTTGTTTAGTGTTTTTTGTTTTTAATAAATATTGTTGTCATTAGATAGACTTGAAAGTCTAATATGTATTACTCTCAGTTCTCAGGCTCACACCCAGTAAGTAGTTTGGGGCGGGGAATGGGGGGTGAAAATGGGGGAAGTTTTGTTTTTCCCACTATAAGCCCAATAAATGGTTTGCTTTTTGCCACTTTTATGTGCACACATAACACACGGCATAGCATAAAAATACCTTCTCATTACCTAAGAGTTTCAGTTAGGTTGTAGTTTGACAAAATGAAGTTTCACTGTTTTTGCAGCCAGCTATGATAAGAAAGACTTCTTGCCATCATAAGATAAACTCCAGGTATATGGCTCACTGTGGAATATAAACATTTCTCTGTTAATGTGGTACTTACACAAGGAGAGACTTGTTGCTATAAGAGATGCTGTCCAGAAGCTGTGAACTAAAAACATTGCAAAGGTGGTTTTGAACAAACACTGGACTCTCGTTTCATTCGCTTAAGTCAGGGTTAGGTTACTTAACTGAATTCACTGTGAAATGTTCTGGGGCCCAGAGGGAAGGTTAGTTTGGACCCCACTGCCGGACCGGCAGGAAGCCCAGAAGGTTTCTTGCGTCTGTGGTGCCATGGCATTGGCGCATTCTAGATTTGCTTCTGCCACAATGCAAGGGGAATGAGGACTCTGAGCTATTGCCAGCCACCTCGTCGTCCTCCTACCCCTTAGCGAACTCTCGTGCTTGACCATACGTGTGTACACACCCGTGTACTCAGGTGCATGCACACATGTGTGCACACGCACACTTCGTCCCTGTGAACGCATGTGTCTGCGTGCATGTGCACGTAGACCAACACTTTTAAAATAATTTTTTATTTTTCCATTATATGCAATACTACATTACTTTCAGGTGTATACCATAGTGATTAAGCGGACAATTTTTGATAATGGCAAGGTATCCGTGGACGTGCTCCCTTCCATTTCTGGTGAGAGAGGCAGGCAGGCGTTCGTTCCCCAGCATGCGGCTCACGGCACAGCGGAGGCCCGCGTCAGGCAGGGTGGCGGTCATTCCCTGTAAGGGATACAGGTCAGCTGCCATGACCCCCTTCCTCTTCTGGTCCCTCAGCTAGCGGCCCCGGTAGGGACAGGGTTTCGTGCACACTTGGAGTCGGTTGTCCAGGCCAGGTGTGACAGCTTGTGGGTGACCATCTGGATACGTTCCCCTGGCTTGTGCTTTGTGGTTTTACTATGGAGTAGTTTTGGGGGGTTCTTCCCTCTGTTTAGTCTCTCATGGCCCACAGTTGTCACATTGGAAGTCATTTTATCCTACTACCTTTCTTACGTTTCTCTTCTCCATTACTGTATATTGTTTCTATTTTATAATTGTAATGGTGTGCTTTTTGGTTTCTGTATTTTTTTTGTGGTGGTAATGTAAGTGCATAGTTAATACAAAATACAAACGATACAGAAGGGTGTACAGTGAAAACTACGTCCTTTCCCCTATTCCCAGCCTCTTGACCCTCTACCCCAAGGCATTTCCTAGGCCTGTTTTTGTATCCAACTGAGATATTTCCTCCTACATAAGCATGTGGATGAGTCCGTGGACTTACCTGTGTTTTATAAATATGTTAGGGTACCACAGTCATTGTTCTCTACCCTCTTCTCTCAATTTCTGCATTAAAAAACAGTGATGATTGACAAAATTTGGTAAGCAGTTAAAACACTTTTTTTCGTTATCTTAATAAAACTTAATATACAATAAGTATAATAATTTTCAAGTGATCTCTCTTAAACAGTGATTTTATTTTCTTTCCAATTTTCAATCTCTTCAGCTGCTGAAAGGCCCAAGTAGACCCAGCTCTGCTTTCCAAGCAGAATTTAGATTTAGTTACTCATAGGAAGAGATTTCAGGGGGGGAGATTGATTTCACGTGCGAGCTATAAACGGAGCCAGTTTCCAGTCAGCAATTTCTGGAAGTTTTTAACTTGATGAATGTATCTAGCGTGCATTTATCACCAGAAGCTTAAAGGAGTTGGATTTCTTAATGATATAAATATAGTTATCTCTGGGAACTCTGATAATAAATATAGGTTCTACAACTAATTACTGCTTTCTCTATGAACAATGCATAAACCTCCTTTCTTGTCAAAGGAAATTCCAGCAATAAAACAGAGTTATGACTAAGAACCCCATTGTGAATGTAACACATAAAAAGAGATAAGTGCACGATGCTCCTGAGAATAATGGGGCCTCAGAAAGCCCGCAGTTCGTTCTCCTGCCTGAGTGGGCTGTCGCAGGCTCTCCCAGATAGAAAGAGCGAGCCAGCTTCAAAGAATTGCCGAAGGTCTCTGAAGTGTTTCTTTTAAGATACATTTTTAAATTAAAATTTTAAATGATCATGTAATGAAAAAATTCAGGCATTCACAAGTGTATTAGCAAGTTGGCCTCAATTCTTTAGAAGGTACCCATGCCTGGCTTTGGTGCATTTCTCCATGTGGTTCATGCAAAATAAAAGCATGATTGCTTTTTGTCCTTTGTTACAGAATATACCTGAAATATGGGAGCCCAGTTAAAATGATGGAGAGTTATATTGCAGTTCTTACAAAGGGGATATGCCAGAGTGAAGAAAATGGCTCTTTCCTCAGCAAGGACTTTAGTGCTCGAAAGGCATACCTTGCGGGCTCTGTCAAAGGTAAAAAAAAAAGAAAAAAGAAACAAAAACCCATCCCAGATGATTTCATCCTGACAATGACAAAATCCTGAAGCCGAGGACAATCTGTCAGTAGACTCTGATTTTCCATCTTTCCACATATATTATCTACATATTTACTTTTTGTATAGGAGAGTTCAACTTCTCCATTTTCTTATTTGATTAGAATTCTGTCAGAGGAAAGCAGACTTTTGTGATGTTCCTTTCCAAAAAATCTGACTTTAAGTATAGAACTGTTCTTTCACCAGCGAGCTGCCCTTCGTGGGTTCAGGTCTCCCCTGACTTCCATAGTTTTCTTTCCTTAGCTCTTAGCTGTTATTAACTCTTCCATCTGGAGAGCTCAAGCCCCTGACCCAGGCTTCTAATCCTGTTCCAGCCTTTATCTCCTACCTGGAAAACTCAAAATAGCAAAGACAGCTCGGGGCTAAGCCACAGTCTCCTGGGTCCTTATCAAAGGGAGGAGAGGGAGCTCCCTGCCCACTCTGCTCTCCTCCCGCCACAGTGCCTGTCTGTCTGTACTGCCGGTGCCCTGTGCTCCGTGGTTCCTCAGCATCCCTGTGGAGGTGTTAGGTGTTGCGCAGCGATCCCAAAAGGACTGACGTGCTTGCCTCAGCAGCACAGATACTAAAATCAAAAAGACTCAGTAATGACATGTAGGTGGGTGGGGGGTTGTTAGTGAACAATTTTTAAAATTTAAGGTTTTATGACACAGAAAGATGCTGGTTCCCTTCATACCATTTACTCCACTTTCTTGTGAGTCTGGCTTTATGCATCCAGCATAATGAGTCTTTTGGGGGGCAGGCGTAGGCAGCTGTGGCGCCCATCCTGGGGAGCAGACGTATTTACCAGATAAGATGCTTCTGTACTTACAGCATTTATCTAAACTTACCTTTTGTGTTGAAAACAATTTTGCATTCATTTGACAAGAATTATTTCCAATATAAACTTTATTTCCTTATGCAACATTTAATTCAGTCATGTTATACTTTCTTTTGTTTTAAGACATTGTATCTCAGTTTGGAATGGAAACTATTATCTTACATACAGCACTGATGCTCAAGAAAAGAATTGTCGTCTATCACCCCAAAATAGAAGCTGTCCAGGAGTTTACCAGGTATCTTCTCTAATCATTAAAAAATGTAAACTTTGCTGGCAGCTAGTTTGGGGCCCTTGATGTTACTATTACTATATGCTCTGTTTGTACATTTGGTAAAAATAGAATATGTTAGTCTGGGGATGAAGTACCATTTTGGTCTCACGGTCCAGTTAATTTTTTTGCTTTTTAAATTTATATTTTTAAAAAAATTTTAATTTTTGATGTTAGAGGGGAAGGGAGGGAGAAAGTTGCCTTGCCTTCCATATGGGCCCCAACATGGGAATTAAATCACAGCCCAGAATTGTGCCCTGACCTGGAATTAAACTGGTGACCTTTTTTGATTTCTCAGATGATGTCTAACCAACTAACTGAGCCATACTGGCCAGGGCTAATCGTCCAGTTGAGATTTAACGATTCAAGGCCGCTGAGTTTGGACAGATACTTCTTTAAATTTAAAAATACAAATATTTTAGAGCAAGAAATATTTTGGGCCTGTAGCCCATACGGTCTCTGTCCCAACCACTCAGCTGTCATGGGTAGCATAAAAGCAGCCGGAGGTGAGTGAGTGAGCATGGCTGTGTTCCAGTAAAACTGTGTGTACAGACAGGCGGCAACTCATGGGTCATATTTTCCTGACCCCTGTTTAGGTAAGTAGTTTCTTCCATTCAATTTTTCTACAGACTGTTTTTTTATTTTTTTTTAAAGATTTTATTTATTTATTTTTAGAGAGAGGGGAAGAGATGGAGAGAAACATCAATCTGTTCCCTCCTGCATGTGCCCCACCTGGGGATGGGGCCCACAACCTAGGCACGTGCCCTGACAGGGAACTGAACAAGTAACCTTTTGCTTTGCAGGACGGTGCTTAACCAACTGAGCCACTTGGTCAGGGCTTCTCTTATTTTTGCAATAAATACGTTTATTTTGTTCTTTTTATTTTTTGGCTAATCTAACTTGTTCTTACATTCTTTTTTAAAATCAAGGAGAACTAGCATTTATGCTGTATTTACTATGTGGCAGGCATTGTATAAGATACCTTAAATTTATGATGAGAACTTTTCAAGTATTATTACCCTGTATTATTAATGAGAAAATTAGGACTCAGGGAGGCTAAACGGTCAGATAAAAGAAAGAAGAAAGGCTTCGTAGTTAGAAAGACCTGGGTTAAAATACCAGGGCCTGACCAGTGTGGCTCGTTGGCTGGGTGTCATTCTGCAAAGTGAAAGGTTGCCCCTTCAATTCCCAGCCAGGGCACATGCCTAGGTTGCAGGTTTGGTCCCCGTCAGGGTGCATATGAGAGGCAACCAGTTGATGTTTCTCTCTCACATCAGTGTTTCCCTTCCTCTCTTTCTCCCTCCCTTCCCCTGTCTCTAAAAATAAATGAATAAAATCTTTAGAAGAAAATCCTGGGAAGGCAATTTATTCCATCAGTGTCCACATAAAGGGTACTAGTATTTCCAAGCCTCAGTCTTTTTATCTGTAAAATGAAGATAATACTGACCTCATAAGCTTGTTTTTAGGATTGAAAATAGTTTGTGTAAAGTTCTTCGCTGGTACCTTGCCCATAGTGTGCACTTTAGGAATAATCATTGTTGTGATAGCAGTTGCCTCAGGTCTTAGGTGAAAGGGCCAGAATTTTTACCCCGCTCATTCTGACTCAAAACCCTGTATTTTTCTACCCCATTATCCTTCCCCTCTACATTTATGCTACTAAAACTGGAGTGTCCAGAGCTTCATGTAACAAGGCACCAGGGAGTTCACAAAATCACAAATTCAGCACATCTTGCAGTAGCTGTTTTACTGGAAGGTTTTTTTGTTTTTTGTTTGTTATTTTTGAGGAAACCTATTTTGTATAAATAAACACAAAGTGGTTTACAAGTTTGACTGGAATTAAATATGAAATGAGACACTTTCCTGCTTACAGGCCTTCTCTGGAGTGAATGTGCAGTTTCCTTCTCCATAGCAGTCAGCACAATAGGGTTGTTGGAGGAAAACCTTAGCAGCGTCTCTCTTTGCTGCCAAGGAGGACTTTTGAAATTTCATCTCGGGCTTTATGTAGCTAATCTGGCACCAAAAGCAGAGTTTAAAACATTGTGTACCTTTCATTTGAAGTCTGGAGGTGTTAGCCCTTTTACGGCTGGTTCTCCCCCCTGCCTGTGACAGCCCGATTTTCCTCCTGGAAGAAGAGGGAAGAGGGCAGCTGAGTCTCTCAGGGGCAGGCCAGCAGCCATGTGAGCTCTCGCTTTGTTTCCCCAGGACTCTGCCTGCCCTGGTGTGGCATCGACAGGACTGGACCATACTGCACTCGTACGTGCACCTCAATGCCGATGAGCTGGAAGCGCTGCAGATGTGCACAGGTGGGCCACGGAATCGCAGGACAGGGACTGGGCTTTCACTGCGGCTGTCGTTTGGTTCTGTGATATGGGGCTTTTTTTGTTTGTTCGTTTGTTTTTGTGCAGTTTTGTGTGTGTGCATTCTAAAGGAGAGTACTGATTGGTTCTTACTTTGGTAAATGGAACCGATTTTTCCTCCTTTTAAAACCTTGAATTTAGAAAAAAATTGGGTAAAATACACGTAACGCAATTCATCATCTAAATCATTTTTAAGTGTGTAGTTCAGTGACATTAAGTACACTAACATTTTTATGTAGCCATCACCAAAATACAACTTATTTTTAACTTGTAAAGTTCTCATCTCAAAGTTTTCTTATTAGTGATTATTTACTTATTTAAGATTTTATTTATTTTTAGAGAGAGGGGAAGAGAAGGAGGAAGAGGGAGAGAAACATCTATTGTCTCTCCTATGTACCCCAGCCAGTGGCTGGGCCCTCAGCCCCGGAATGTGTCCCAGTCAGGGATTGGACCAGTGACCTTCAGCTTTGCAGGGCAGCGCCTGATCAACTGAGCCACACCAGTCAGGGCTTACTGATTTGATTTAGAGTTTGACTTGCGTCTTGTCATATTTTTTCTCAAAATTATTTTAAAATGATGTTTTTATACTTGTATAATCATTTTTAAATAAGATTCTGGGAATAATTTAATAATGCAGTATTATCTATGTCTACAGTAATCCTAACTTTGTAAAGCCATAGATTTTTTGTTTTACTTTCTTTAGATGTAAGGTTAAAATGCCCTTTATATGTTAACCTTTTTTTTAGATTTTGTTATTTTTTTAGAGAGAAGGGAAGGAGGGCAGAAAGGGAAACATTGACTGGTCACGCACACACACACCCCCACCCCCTGGTTGTCCTGGCCTGTAACCCAGACATGTGCCCTGACTGGGAATCAAACCAGCGACCCTGTGGTATGCAGGCTAATGCTCAGTCCACTGAGCCACACCAGCCAGGGCTGTTTGGTTATGATTCCTTGTAGACAAAGATCTGAAGGGGGAACAGTTATCAAGAGCATCCTTGCTACCTTCTGTCTGTCTGTCATTTTTGCCCCTAGTAAAGCAACAACTGAAAAGTAAATGCTTTTCCTTCAGTCTCCTTCCTTGACACTGAAGTCTGGCTTTGCAACCTTTTGAATGTGTGAGTTGCTTGGGGCAATGGACAACAGAGTAGTCTTAATGAATGCCACAGGGCACAGCTAATGACCCTGAGTAGGTACGGCAGTGAAAAAAAGCAGCTTTTCGACTCAGTTCTCGTGTGATGTGTTCACAGTATGATTTCTTCGTAGCCCAGTAGTGTTGGTCATCTTTGCAATGCAGGTTACATTGCTGGATTTGTAGACCTGGAGGTGAGCAACCGATCAGACCTCTATGATGTGTTTGTGAACCTGGCAGACAGTGAGATCACCATTGCTCCGCTTGCGAAAGGTTAGTTCTCTGGTCTGTTCCGTTGATACGAGACAGGAGGCAAGCAGTTGTGACTTCTTTAGGCTGATTCTCTAAAACTAATATTTGAGGGCCTTCTTAAACTGCTCTGTTGAAGCTGGAGGGATTTTTTTCGTGTCTCAAATGCAGCATTTATTCTTTCAGGCCTGGCCACGTTAGTAATACATCCTGGATGCTTATGCTGCACAATATATGCTAATGAGATGGTCTATTCATTTGTTTTTCCACTTTCTATTTAAAGTGTGTTAAGTTATCTACTGCTGCATAACAAATCACTTCTAAAGTTAGTGATTCAAAACAACAAATATTTATTACCTCACAGCTTTGGTGGGTCAGGAATCCAGGACTGACTTAGCTGGGAGATTGGGCTCAGGGTCTCCCCTGAGGTTTCCGTCAACATCGTGCCACGGCTGCCGTTATCTGGAGGCTCAAGTGGGGCTGGAGGCCCACCGCCCAGCTAACGCGCGTGGCTGTCAGCTGGAGCCCTCTCCCTGAGGCCTCTCCACAGGGTGCAGCTTGGGCATTGCCGTGACCTCAGAGCTGGCTTCCCCGAGAGTGAGTGATCCAAGACAGAGAGAAGAGACCGCAGTACCCCTTGTGCCGGGGTGTCCAGCCTTTTGGTGTCTCTGAGCCACACTGGAAGAAGAATTGTCTCAGGCCACATGTTAAACACACAAACACTAATGAAAACTGATGAGCAAAAAAAAAAGGTTTTAAGTAAATTTACGATTTTGTGTCGGGCTACACTCATAGCCATCCTGGGCCGCGTGCAGCCTGTGGGCTGCGGGTTGGACACCCCTGCTTGTGGCCTAGCTCCAGAAGTCACATACTATCACCTCCGTATTCTATGAGTTAGAAGCAAGTCATTAAGTCCAGGCCCTGGAGGAAGCAGTATAAAGAGTGTGTAGACATTTATCCAAGAGTGTGTAGATATTTATACAAGGGTCGACTATGACTCTGAAAGAGGGAAGAGCTGAATGCTGGCTAATTAGGGGTTTTGGTTAGATAGACTCTTTTTACATGAGATTTTATCCAGTAACTCCAAATGAACAGAACCAGGACTAGTTTTCTTTCATTGGTTTTAGAGTGGCAAATATAATCCATGTTCCTGGTGAAAAATTCTAAACATGAAAACATCCACTACCTTTTGTAACCCAAAAATGATAGAAAACTAGCCGCGGCCACTTAAATTGCTGAGCGGGTGGCCATTTCCTCACTGCCATCTCTTCCTCTGAGTCTGTACAGTGGGCTCACCCCAGTCAGCACCATCCACGTTTGTGCCTTGAGGTGACGAGCAGAAACTCCTGTTAATCTCCTCGCTGCAGAAAGTGGCACTGCACGACGAGGGACCCAGAACATGGAATTTATAAAAAACTGTGTATTTATTCTTACATGTTTAAACTTCAGTCACCTTCCAAGTACTCTCCATTTGATGCAATGCACCTATCAAGACCTTTTCTTCCACTGCTCAGAATGGTTTTCGAGTTTGTTGATTCTGATGATTCTAGTGCATCTGCTGTTTTTTGTTTTACCTCTTCAACATCGGCAAAACATTTCTTTTCGAGGACTTTTTTTCATCAGGGAAAACAAAGTCACTCAGGGCACGATCTGGTGAATAGGGAGGGTGGGGCCCGGAGTCATGCCATTTTTTGGTTAGAAACTGAACACTCAGTGCGGTGTGGGCAAGTGTGCTTCGAAGTCAGCCATGGTGAAATGGGCAAATGTGCTGAGGGGGTCCTCCAAAAAAATTTGCTGAAGCCGAACACAGCCTCTCAACAACGCCAACTGGTCCACTGATACAGTTGGGTTCCTAGAACACGCACCTAGGAAGGGAAGCCTGTACTACAAGCAGCCTGCCCTCCAGAAGATACTTCTTTTTCGGGGGGGCTCCCCCCTCGTATATAATTAATGCAACTTGGGCTGCTTCCTTTGCTCGTTTCTAAGAGCCTTTGTACGCTGAATGTTCAGCCAGCTTCTGCAGAACTAACAGGAAGCACCTCTTTCACAGTCTTCCCGCCAGAAAGATAAACTTGAATTCTTAACTGTGAAGACCTGGACAGGAAAGTCAGGCTCTTGGCGTACACTCACAACTCATTTGTAGTCAGAAGCTTTCATGAGGTGTTGTCTAGAAAAAAAATAGGAACTCTTATCAGGCAGAGATGAAGGAGAAATTTGGTTTGGCACTGGCATGTTTTCAGTTGGACATGAAGGATGGAAATCGTGATTATGCCTCCCTCCCCACCTAGCATGTCGTCATGTTTGTATTTAGCGATGAGATGGAAGTGTGGTGGGCTCTCCGCTGCTTTTTGAAAATTCCCTCTGTATGATCTTCCAGGTTTTCAGATAGATGGCATGGTGAATTTTTATTATGTGAACTTCTAAATATTCACATAACATATTCTTAATCTCACCAGAGGCCATGACAATGGGCAAACTGCACAAAGAAGTTGGCCAGCTAATTGTTCAGTCTGCAGAAGATCCAGAGAAATCTGACAGCCAAGTTATACAGGTAAGACCCTAATCTACGGACTGAGCCCTAGGCTAGCGTGGCTGGGCCAGGTGCGCAGAGCTGCTTATTGTCTGCTGTGCACATGGCAGAGGGAAGTGACTGGGAAGTGCTCGTGGGGGTTGGCAGATGAACCCGCTGGAAGTGAGCAGCAGGGGCCGCCGTGGCCCCCTGGGTCAGGCTCTGAGGACAAGGTATATACAGGGACCCGGGCTGAAGCCAAGCATTTATGGTGAGAAATTAACTTCTAAGTGGTCTGGAATGCTGTTCTGGATTGGCCAATGCATTCTTTCCTCCTGGCGGAATTTTCATGCAGAAACAAATTGAAGGCAGAAGGTTGTTACTGAGCATGGGGACCAGATAGAGTGTCTTAGTCCAGCTTTGATGTATTTATCGTCTCCAGGACATTAATAATGCAGGCGCCTGCCAAACTCAGCAAACCCTGGTGTCATAGTCTGCAGGGCTAGCTCCTCTGTGGGGTCTGTCATCTGACAACAGTTCTTGTGGACCCTCTCCTCTCCCCTTTCCCACAGGGGGGTGGCGAGTGGGTTTTGTTCACGCCTCCCTGTCTGGTGAAAAAGCCCCTCGTTGGCACCGCAGCTTGCCAGCGCCCGCCCCTTCTGTCTGCCGCCAGTTTGCGTTGTGTGCTTCCAGCAACTCGCTCCTCTCCTGCACGGACACATCTCCAGCCTCGTCTCTCTCAGGCTCTGCCTCATCTTAACCCGTCTCGTGCTCTGGGGGCCAGGGGCCTCGATGGATTGTCTCCCCCTGTCTGCACCCGGGAGGCACCTCTGATGTGAAGGTCCTACTCATCTGGTTGTGTCTCGCTCTTTTCTTCATTAATCCATTTATTAAGCAGTATCTATTGAGCACTCACTATGCATCATGCATTGCACAGGGCAGTGCAGTTGCAGCGGTGAGCACAGTCCCGGCCCTTACTGCCTGTATTTTAGCGGAGTAGGTGAATAGGAAGTAATATGTGACAAGATCATTGTGAACCGTGATAAACAAATGCTGTGACAGAAACAAGGGGTTGAAGGAGAAAATATTAGACAGGGGATCAGACAGCTCTCTGAGAAAGTGACATGTGAGCTAGAGGTTGCTGAAGGGTGAGGCACTGCAGGTTTTCACAGGGACCCGCCAGCGCCGCTCTTCTCTCTGTTCAGTGCTGGTGGCCTGTCCAGCCGTGGCCAGAAGTGTGGGTGGGTCTTGTCCTGAGGACTTGAACATTGAGACGCCCCTGCTCTGTGGATCCTTCCATCAACATGATAGTAAAAATACTCTTCACAGTATTGGTGACGTGTAAATTTGAGTTCTGAATTACGGTGTTTTTCGTGGACTAAACATGATACACGATGACTCGGTATAATCTATGATGAATGTGCCCAGCATGTTGTAGGGGTGCAAAAATATTTGAATGGGTTAATGATGTCAGCACAGCAAGAAAAAGACATGACTTTGATGTGAGCTCTGGTGAGTCCTCAACCCCGCGAAGCAGTGTCAGTCGACAAAGAGGAATAAAGCCCCTGTGGCAGATGCCGGGTTTCTTATCCCAGGCGGAAGAGAACTCTGGGAGGAGGTCTGTTCTAGAAATAATAGCACGGTTCCTCAGAGAGGGAAACATAGGATTGCCATGAATCCAGCAATTCTACTCCTGCGTATTTATCAAGAGAAATTGAAAAAGCGAGTAGTTTGTACACCCCTGTCCACAGCAGCACTAGTAACAGTAGCCATTGATGGATGGATGAACAAAATGTGGTGTATGTATACAGTGGAATATTATTCAGCCTAAAAAATGAGTGAAGTTCTAATATATGCTACAACATGGATGAACCTTGGAAATGTTATATGAAGTGAAATAACCCAGACACAAAAGGACAAATACTGTATGATTTCACTTACGTGAGGTGCTCAGTGCAGGCAGATTCACAGAGGCAGAAAGTAGAATGGCTGTTACAAGGGGCTCAGGGAGGGGCGGTGGGGAGCTCTTATTTAAGGGGAATGGAATTTCCATGTGGGATGAAGACAGAGCTCTGAGTGGAGTTAGGGATCACCACACAGCACCGCGAACGTACTTAATGCCACCAAATCACATGCTTAAAAATGGCAAAAGGAAAAGAATTATCTGTGACATTGATTTTTCTATTTTGTTTCATTTTACCTAATTTAAAAAGTAAAGTCAGTCTGACAAACTTTTAAAAATAGCAGGAAGAATTCTACTATAATGCAACAACTACTCAAATTTTTCGGTGCTAACATACTGCATATTTTCCTGTTCTTATTAAAGGATATTTCCCTGAAAACAAAAGAAATCTTTGCCAATCTGGCACCATTTTCAGAAGTTTCAGGTGATGGAGAAAAGCTAGTTCTCAATTTGGAGGCACTGAAGCAAAGACGATTTCCACCAGCGACAGAAAACTTTCTTTACCATCTTGCTGCAGCGGAACAAATGCTGAAGATCTGACCGTGTGTCTGAATGTATCGCTGAGGACTGACACAGAGCTCTGTGACCATGATTATCCATTAACTGTGTTGTAAAATACGGAGGAACAAAGAAAATGGTATTATTTTAATGATTTATTTGAAAGTATTGAGATTTGACCTGAAAAGCACTGAAACACATGAAAATGCTTCTGATTTTCTCTTACCTGATCAGCTTCATGCCCACTGTCAGGGTCAAAGTGCTGTAACCCCACCGATAGGTTAGAAGAGGGCCGAGGTCCTGGAGCACAAGGGAAAAGCTCTGCCCAGTTCCTGTGTAACTCTCAGCAGATCCAGACGCCTTCCTTGTAATAAGTTCCAGTTTGTCTCATTGTGTACCACAAACAAATGGTTTATTTTCAGAAAGCTGCCTGAAATTTTGCTTTGTATTCTTCTAGGAAGAACCTTAATTCCTCATGAGGAACTCTACTTTCTGAGCCAAACTACTAAGTTTTCTGCAGGACCGTCTAGATTATTCAAAAGACCCTGAAATTGCACTTTCTTATAAAAGATAATTTTTTTTCTTGGCCTTTGAACATTTTGCCTATATTATGAGGGTTTTGCATAGATTTTATACTTGAGCAGACAACTTTAATAATCTGTATTTATACTGTCCCAGAGGTGAGCGTGTGGCAAACTGAAGCCATCAACCCTCTTCAGTTAGCCTCATTGCTAGCAATATTATTTTGAAAAAGATGCCGGTCCTTCTATGGCAAAGTAAAATAAGCAGCCTATTTTGGATATAAATGTCTGTATAACTGAACTAGCAATTTTACATAATTGGTAAAGGAATGTGACAATTAACTTCCTGCAAGGGCCAAAACCAGAGAATGTCTTCAAATAATTCCAGTAAAAGTAACTTGGCCACATATGAAGGTAACTGTTCCTGTTCAGTTGTGTACCTTTCTCATAATTGGAGACCTAAAAATTGTAAAGTAAGCATGGAGGTCTAAGTTATGTCCTTGTTATATTAGTATATGTATCCATATTAACTATGACAGGTTATTTTACAGTCACTACTGTTGTCCTTAGAAGTTTCACCCAGAAAATGTTTGCAAAAAATCTTGTCTCTGTTGGATCTTTCATTTATTCTTGGTGTTAGACTTTTATTAAGTAAAGGTTTAAAATAGCCCTTTCCCTCCCTCCTTGGGTAGGGCTGGACCTGAGATGAGATTTTGTTTACTAAGGCAAATGATTTAAAATTAAATCTGCACTTTATGAAAATGAATACTAACATCTTTTTCTTGCTCATTTTTGTATTACTATATTAGCTAATGATTGAAGTTGTTAAAAAATTACAAATGTATGATGCAGAAATAAAATGGAAATATTTTGATAACAAAGTTTTAGGCAGATGAAAAATTGTGCCCTCTCTCTCTTCCAACTCCAAAAAAAAAAAAACCAAAACAAAACAAACCCTAAAACAACTTTTTGTCAACTGCCGATGTGCTGGGGAACCTTATTAAAAGGCCTCTTGGAAAGCGAAGGGGGCCCTGACCAGGGTGTCGTCCCACAAAACGAAAGCTCACCCGTTTGATTCCCAGTCAGGACACAGGCCTGGGTTGGGGTTTGGTCCCCAGTCAGGATGCATACGAGAGGCAACAACTGAGGTTTCTCTCCCTCCCTTCCTCCTTCCCTCCCCCTCAAATATATATACGTACATAAAACCTTAAAGAAAGACAATGAAGGCTCCTTATCTCCCTGCCCTTACTCTCCCTCACGCAGCCACTCTCCTCCGTCAGTGGGGAAGCCGTCACCTGGAGCCTTCCCACATGGTGTTCTTTTGCTTACTGTAGGCCTGGGGCCATCCTGAGTCACCTGGTAGGTCAATTTTACTAATTTTGTCCTTTTAGGTTGTTTGCTGTGAAACCCTTTTATGATCTTTCCGGCCCAGGGAAAACTGAAAAGCCAGAGATACTCTTCAGTGATTTGGGGCAGTGTGTTGGGAACTTTCCTCCAGGATGCAAATGTTTGTATACTTCATGCAGAGCACTGTTGTGTCCTGGGGCTCCCTTGATGCACAAGACAGTTCCTGCCCTCAAGGGACAGTCTACAGGGGCACCGGGCCTGTGCTGTGGTGTGGCAAGTGCAGTGGGAGCACAGGAGAGGCACATGATTCAGTGCTGTGAATCCTGGAAGACTTCCTGGAGGGAGTGACTGACACCCACATCAGACCTGAAGCATGAGCACGAGTTAGTCCAGAGCAGAGGGAAGCGGGTGTGAAGGCCCAGAGCAGAGAGAGAACAGCCCCTACAAGGGGCTGGACGTTGCTCCAGAGTGACGAAAGGGAGCTGCTAGAGGTGAGTAAGGCGAACGCTCTTGCCTGCATGGCAAAGCATTTGAACTTGATAACCTGAAGCTCTGAGAAGCCACTGAAGGCTTTTGAGCAGGTGTGATTTTAGAAGAGCAGGTTGGAGCATGGATGGGAGGGAACCAGACAAGTAAGGCGAGTAGTACCAGCAGGGGGTGCTGTTGGACTGAGCTGGGCAGCAGCAGCGGCCACGGAGCGAGTTCTAGAGCTGCTGGCTTCGCCTCAGTCTGCTGAGTGGGAGTAGGGGGAGGGCGGAATAAGGGTGCCGCCAATGATCCTGCCTGATGCAGGTGTGGTGGTGACATTTCCTGCGATCGGGAGGTCTCAAGTGGACACCCAAATGGCAAAATGCAGGGTGCAGCTAGATGTGAGCTATTGCCCGGGGAAAGCAAGCCCAAAGACTGGGGACTCAGCCAGCCGGCAGCGGCAGCAGTTTGGGTGGGGCGTGGATGCCCGCCATCTCAGCTGAGTGGAAGGTGGGGTGCAAACAGTGAGGGCAGACAGTCCTGGAAAAAGTGTGGCTACAAATAAGGGTTTTACTTTTTCAATGAGGCAGGTGACGCAAGCAGTTTAACTACTATTGGGAAGAAGAAGTAGTTAAGCAGACAGAGGTGGCTGGAGGCAGAGGCCCTGAGGAAAGAAGGGAGGAGCCGGGAACCTAGGGGCCAGCCGACCTTGCCCGGAGGAGGGAAGGTTGGTGCGGGTGGAGGAGGGTCTGCAGGTTTGGCGCCCGGAGCTTCCATGGCGGGCCAAGAGCCGTGGTTTTTACTGTGAAGCAGGAAGCAGGGTCGCTTGCCAGTGAGGAGAAAGGAGCTGGGTGGCAAAGATTTCAAGTAGTTGTGCAAAATGGAAGTAACAGGCTTGCTTTGGGGGTTGCTCACCAGAGGTTCAGGTTTACCTCGAAAGGGGCCATCAATTTTAATGCCTGTGCCATGGGCTTCGATGACCTTTCATTTCTTCAAAAACTCAACTTGATACGAGTTTATTAACAATTTCAGTGTCTTTTCACAGGCTGACAAATTGAAAACTGAACCTTAACATCACCCATAGCAATCCCTTGGGAGCAGGTCAGACAGGACAGCCTGCCATTTCTCTTCCTCCATCCAGGCTCAAAAACCGCAGGCATGACAAGCCTAGACAAGGTCTTGGCATGTGTGACTGTAAGCCATCCTGTCTGTGCAGGCACCTCGGGGGTTTCCAGGAGACCTCGGGCACAGCTCTGGAAACCGAAACCTTGAGAGGAAGGTTTTCGAGCAGGAACCAAATGAATTCACCTAAAACTCACCCCTATACCCCTCTGTTATAGAAGAGTTCTGTTTCTTCTGTTGCAGACTGAATTTCCTCTTCAAGTTTACTGCACTGTATCTGAAAAACACAGTTAAATTCTTAATATTTATATTAAGAACTTTTCTTGCCTTAGAAGCCAAGTTTTTTTGTTTTTTGTTTTTTTAATTTCAGAAAGTATTTGTTTTACGGTCCAACTTTTTTTCAGTGATGTCTAATTCAGAACAAAAAAAATAGAACCTAACATCTTAAAAACATTCTTCTGGAATATTTCAAATATAAGCAAATGCTGAAAGAATATAATGAGCCCTCATGTACTCATCACTCAGCTTTAACTATTAACGATCTGCCAATCCCATGAGATTTAAAACCTTCTGGAAATGACCTGGCTTGCAGATAAGCCATCGCTCTACTCTCTGAACACTAATGGAATCAGAAGTTATTATTTGCAAAGGGTTCGCTTTTATTGCAATCTTATTGTGACAAACTGTTCTAAAAGGGGACTGTGAGGATTGAAAAATTTTTTTTTTCTATTTTACCTGTTTTAATGAGAAGCTACTCTCTCTACCCATCCCTCACCACCTTTATTTTTTTTAAGATTTTATTTATTTATTTTTAGAGAAAGGGGAAGGGAGGGAGAAAGAGAGGAAGAGAAGCATCAATGTGTGGTTGCGTCTCCTGCGCCCCCAAATGGAGACCTGGCCCTCAACCCGGGCATGTGCCCTGACTGGGAATTGAACTGCCAACCTTTCAGTTTGCAGGACGACACCAAACCCCTTAAGCCACACCAGTCAGGGTGCAACTATCTTAAATTATGTAAAACTTCTGTTATATGCTGGCAAAGTTGCCTGAATTAACGATTCTATAAAACCAAACTTAGAGAATCTGGGTTTTGAACAAAAGCATTCCATAAATATACAGGGTGGAGCAAAAGTAGGTTTACAGTTGTCTGTATAGAAAATAATACAATAAATAATAATACAAAAATAAACTTTTGTATACTCCTGACTGTAAATCTACTTTTGTAAGTGCTCTGAGGACATGACTGATTTTTAACTTCAGTGACAAACCAGCATTGGAAATTTTCAGACAAGAAATGCCAGAAATCGCTAATATCTACTAGCATCGATAATGTCCTGGGTACCAGCAACAACCCTTCGCAGAGATACTATTATAGTCCTCTCTCTTTAACAGATTCAGAGACTGGGTCTCAAAGAGTTGAAGCAAGTTGACCAAAGTCATGGAGGAGCTGGGAACTTGGGCCCAGCAGGCTCACTCACCACAAATGACAGTATATCCTAGTCTACAGAACTGTGCAGTCCAATACAGAAGCCACTAGCCACATGGGAGTACTTAAGTTAAAATTACATTGAAATTGCTCTGACTGGTGTGGCTCAGTTGGTTGGGCATCGTCCCGCAAACTGAAAGGCCACTGGTTTGATTCCTGGTCAACGCGCATGCCTGGGTTGCCTGCCAGGTCCCCAGTTGGGGGCCTGTGAGAGGAGGCCAATCCATGTTTCTCTCCCTTTGTCTGCCTCCCTTCCCCTCTCTCTAAAAATAAATAAACAAAATCTTCTAAAAAATTACATTAAATTTAAAATTCAGTTCCTCAGTCACAGTGGCCATGTTTCAAGTGCCCGGTAACCACATGTGGCTACTGGTTACCGTACTGGCCACCACAGATACCGGGCATTCCCATTACTGCAGAAATTTCCACGAGATGAGGTGCTGCTATAGCATAGAACAGATCAAAATATCTCAAAGTGTTTTTTAATATCCCATAAAAATGCTTCTGATTTACCGGTAAGAAAAATAGAATTCAAAACGGCACAAAGGATCGGGGGTGGGGGGGAGATTACATGTAAATAATGTTATTTTCTTTTATGCTTTTGTAAACTTGGCAGGTTTTTTAGGAGAATAACTTATTTTACTCTAATGAGAAGAGAAAGTTACTTGTTAAGAGAAAGTCAAACGGGGGGCACTTACCCGTTCGATATTGGGGAAGACACTAAAAGACACTGGCACCATCACTCCCATTACCAGGATGGTACAAGACAGCTTCAAGGTCCACAAGGAATGCGGGTATCGCACGAATAACTGGGTCCTGTAAGAGACAAGGTTGTGGGGCTTCTTGGAGGCGTCGGCCACCGGCTCCACCGACGGCCGATTGCCTTGCTCACTAGCGTCAGGCCCGGGAGTAAGGACTTCATGTGCATTTGCTCACTGGGTTGCTCCACCGTCCTATGAGGTTTGTGTTGCCATCATCTCCATCACATAAACAGGAGAAGGTAGCAGGTGTCCACTTACCGTATTTTACCGTGTATAATGCACACAAAAACGTAGGTGCGCATCATTGATGGGGAGTGCATAATACACAGCAAAATGTGGTAAGTCATTTGTCCAAAATCCCACAGCTCGAAAGTGAGAGGTCAGACCCTAGGGCCCACGCTTTTTCACCAGGGGGCTACCTGACACAGATGTGACATGCTGACCCTGACCTTTGAGAGTGTGAGAAACAGTGTGGGAAGATGCAAAGGACCCCAGCCTGGTAGTCAGAGCCTGGGGTCCTGGGGTCGGAGCGGGGGATTGGGGTTCTGCTCCGGACATACTGGGTGCTCTCAGGCAAGTCACTTACCCTTTCTGAGCTTTGGGTTTTTTCGGGCGCAAAACGAAAGGGTTGAGTCGGTGGTGGAGGTCACTCTAGCTCGGATACTGTCATGGTTGTGGGATGGCATGTGGTCCTGCTGAGCACCCCAAGGTCCTGGGAAACAAGGACCATTGCTCCCCACCAGGCGGCTAGTGCCATTACACAGGCATCTAGGGACAGACCGGAGGGTCCCAGCACCCCCAGGAGCCAGCTCTGAGGCCAGTCAGAGGGGTCCAGGATGGTCCTGACTGAGCGTTAAGTCTCCATACCCACCCAGCGGGACCGGCTGTGGGAAGGAAGTACCAGTTGGCACCACCCAGGATGCGGCTACTTCATGGAAAAATGGTTCTAGCAGGGGCTTCCTAGCTCACTACACTGAACAGAGTGGATTGGTTCAGCAACAGGCAGGTGACCCTACGTGGGCCAACAGAACCCTTCCCTGGGAGTTTGTGAACTGAGTGGAAGACATTCCTGCCTCCCCTGGGGTTTACTGTTTTTAGCTCTTATCAGGACACTGTGAGGATATAGCTAGGAGGTGTCAGTCACATCCCTCATCAACATGAAGAAGCCAGCGTGTGGCAGAAGAGGGGAGGCTCTCCCTGCACTACAGCCTCTGCTCAGCGGCCGTAGGCTCTGCATCCTGCCCGTGCCCGGTATCCAAACCAGCACAGCTCCCTCCTGGTCTGAGTTTCTGCAACTGGAGCTTCGCAGACTGGCTGATCCCCAGGCCCTCTCCCAACAGGCCATTTCTCGCTTCTCGAAAGGGATGACAGTCTACCGAATCTGGGGCCACTTAAGTTAATTTAATACGTGCTTGGAATGAAGGCGGGGAAAGAGGCTCGGGCAATATTCATAGCACATCAGAGCTGGGAAAACCTGCAAATCATCCAAACCCATCGTTCTAGAAGTGAGGAAACATGCCTCAGCAGGTGCTGGGACATGCCCAGGAACACAGAGCTAACTGAGGACAGGGCCTGGGCTACGTGCCAGATGTGTTGGCATAGACACAGCTGGGTTTGCACGCCTGCCCCAAATTAATCCCACTGTCTCAACTGTAATGAGAGTGTTTAGTAGGAAGACCACGGAAGCAGCATCTTCCCCTCCCTCCCACCGTGTTCAGATTTGACACGCTTTTATAAGGATTTTGACGGTGTCTTACCTTTTAAAAAAGTGTGCGAAGACTTCAGGAATCAGGGCGGAGGTCCCAAACAGCATGGCTCTGGATGTTGCTGTGTCTTGAACGGCCTAGTGGAAAGGGAAGGAAAGCGGCTCAGGATGTGGAGCAAGACGGTTTCCAGGCATATCCCGTAATTCATGACGGAGACAAGCAAAGAGCAACTCTCCTTTCTCACTTAAAAAAACAATGCACATGGAAGCCGGGGAGAGGGGCAGCACCTGACGTGCACATGTCTGTAAGGCAGTTGGGGTCCGTGCCAGGAGCAGCTGAAGACGGGATTTCCCTCCCCCCGACTCCATAATGGGCTCCCTCAGTCCGCCGACCACTCCAAATAACATACTAAGTATAACTGAAGGCAGCTTACAGACAAAACCACGCTTAGAACCCAATGGTAGTCCCCTTCGCAGAAATGCTGGGTTTTGCCAGTGAGGGCCAGTCTACGTTTTCCTTTAAATCCAGGACTCTGCCGCCGGCCTCCCTCTCCAGGACGGCTCCCCAGTTATCCCCGCCCCTCCCAGGGGAGGGATGCCCCCAAACACAGCTCAGAATGTGCCAGCATGGGTTGAGCCCACAGGGAACATGTCTGAGTCTACCTCGGACATGTGCACCCAGCTTCTGTTTGTGCAATTTAAAGTGTGCTATGAAATTTTATTTTGCACAAACATGTATGCAGGGTGTATAACATTTTGTCATCTTTTCTGTTATATACATTACTCTATGTAGTGAACATTTAAATATATAATTTTCTGTATGGGTTGTATGCACAAAATCATGTGCACCCAAGGACAATGGAAGAGACTTTCAAGGGGAATTACAGATACAGGTGACACTACGTTAACTTCAGAACCCAAACCCCGGGCAAGACACAGCTCCACATGCGGCTGCTCTGTGCAAGGTAAGTATGCCCACAGGCCCCACTCCCTCCCTCCCACTTCCACTTCCCGGCACAGCCTGCCTCGGGGCTCCTCCCCTAGGCCTGCACCTGCTGTCTGCCTCTTCCACGAATGAGCTGCTCGTGTGATCCCCCTGCAGGGAATGCCTTTCCCCTGCGACGACAGGGAGCCAGGGAGGGTGGCTCTTAAAATAAACTTGCAGAAACATTAAATAAAATCGCTCCACTTCAGAAAGAGAAAAGTGACTGTGAGCGTGGTGCACTTCAGTGTCCGTGGGACGAGAAGGGTGTCTCCTGTGCACGGGGAGGCCACTCCAACAAGACAGCCGTCACTCGGAAGCACTGGGAGACCAGTTACAGTTTGCAACTGAGTGGCTTCCAAGGCCAGTCAAGGGGAAATGACATGGATTAGGCTCCTGAAATCTGATCAAAGGTGCCCTATTACAATCAGATATTGCTGGTTACGCAGTTTCTGAAATTTTAGCCAAAGAAAAGAAACCTTTTGGTGACAGGGGAATGATAAAAGAAGGCTTATGCTTACGCACAGTTGCAGACACTTTATTCTTAAAAGAAAGATAAACTTATTTTTTTAAAGCAGACCATCAAACCTTCCTTTTACCCTAAGTTGGAGTTCATGCAAAAAAAAAATGAGGTTCCTCCCGGTGCAATGGACTAGATACCTAGATACCTAGCAGGGCCTGAGGTGCCTCCCCGCTGGGAGGCCCAGCACTCCTGGGCCCTGCAGAGAAGGGATTCGGACGGGTGAGGGTGTCCAGAACCTAGTGCGGTGCCTGGTGCGCAGGAGGTGCTGAGGAACCACTGTGGATTAAACATTTTCTCTCCCTTCAGCTGTATGAGTCGTTTCCACCACCACCAGTACCCTGCAGTTAAAATTGATCTGAAGATCCCTGGCCAGTGTAGCTCAGTTGGTTGGAGTATCAGTCCCTACACCAAACAGTCGCACGGTCCATTCCTGATCAAGGCACATACCTAGGTTGTGGGTTCGATGCCCAGCTGGGAAGCCTATGAGACACAACTAACTGACATTTCTCTCTGACATTGATTATTTCTGTCTCTGCCCCCCCTTTCAAAAGGCAATGAAAAAATGTGCTCAGGTAAGGATAAAAAAGGATTAAAAAATTGAAGTGAAATGCAAACATGCAAAGTCTGTCCAGAAAAACTCCAGCCATTGTTAATATAAGAACAGTTTCCTTGACATCAATGTAACCTGGCAGCCAAGGAGAGTGGACTGGAATGCACATGTGTGAACAATGAGAACTTCACGGTACTAGGCAGTGGGCCCGGTAGATGCCATTGAGCGAGCATATGTGCTGTGTGGCCATGGCATTCAAAACGGCTGAGCGAGTAGAGCAACGAATCTGCATCAAATTTTGTGTTAAGCTTGAACATTCCTCTGCAGAAACTGCTGAGATGATTCAGAGGCTGCAGCTACGGGCACCTGGTGACTGGCAGGTTCATCACAACAATGCGCCCACTCACGTATCACGTCTCATGCAGAATTTTTTTGGCAAAACATCAAATCACCCAGGTGACTCAGTCCCCCTACAGCCCAGACTTGGCACCCTGCGACTTCTGGCTTTTCCCCAAACTAAAGTGATCTTGGAAAGGGAAGAGATTTCAGACCGTCAATGAGATTCCGGAAAATATGACAGGGCGGCTGATCGCGACTGGAGAACTGTAGGGGGTCCCAAGGTGCCCACTTTGAAGGGGACTGAGGCAACGCTGTCCTATACACAATGTTCCTTGTACCTCCATCAATAAATGTCTCTATTTTGCACAGTACATGGCTGGGTACTCTCCGGACAGGCCTCCTATTTCCAGAGAGCTGCACATGAACGTTCAGAGCAGCATTGTTTACAATAGCTCCGAACTGGACACAACCCAATGTCTGCTGCCTGGGGAACAGAAAAGCAAAAAGGTGGCACATACGTACCATGGAATACTGCTCAGCAATAAAAAGCTGTAAACTATTGATATGGGTTAAAAGATGGATGAACCTCAAAGGTCCAGAAGCTAGACACAGAAAACTAATGTACAATTTGTTTATATGAAATTTCTGGAAAAGGCCCTACTATGAAGGCAAACAGTGGATCAGCGTTTCCTCGGGGCTGGGGGTAGGAAGGGAGAGTGACTACCACAAGGGAAATTTTTAGGGCGATGAAAATGTTCTAAAATCAGACTAGGGTGATGGCCGCATAGCTGCTTACATTTACTAAAATTCATCCAACTGTAGTCTTTTTTTTTTTTTAAGAATTTAAAAAATTTTTAGAGAGAAGGGAAGGGCGGGGAAGGAGGTAGAGAACATCAATCAGTTGCCTCTCGCATGCCTCCAACTGGGGACCTGGCCCACAACCCGGGCATGTGCCCTGACCAGGAATCGAACAGGCAACCCTTTGATTTGCAGGCTGGCACTCAATCCACTGAGCGACACCAGCCAGGGCCCAACTATAGTCTTACAATGAATTTTATAGTATGTAAATCATACCTCAATAAAGCTGTTAAAGATGTCTCTCTAGGATGGTTTCTTAGGCATGGAACCTTCCTTTTGAAAATGAAGTATTTTATTGCTGGCAGAAGTTTCCCTCCTTGATACTGGCAATTATCACGTCCCTGCTGTAATTCATCTAGAAAGGTGGCCATTATTTTGAGACATGCTAATTTGATGGACCAGTAAAGACACTGTAGCACGTAACTGACAGTTCCTAACTCAGCTTTGTGAGTCATTGCTAGAATTGGGAGTAATGTGTTTCATGAGCCGAACCATGAGGCCCTTCCTGACTGAATGAGCGGCCTCTTTTTCCGAGCTCCTCTGCCACCCACGTGCCGGGCAAAAGGCTGCCAGGCTGGCCCTTCTCTTGCTCTGCATCAGGGGCTGCTTCGTGTTGCTTTTCATGCCGTTTGCAAACAACTGCTTCCTGTTACAATTCTGAAGTCACTTCCCAGCGACCCCGAAAAGATCTCATTTGTTAAAAAGAAAAATTTTCTTACAAAGTCCATTCCCAAAGTAAAACTACTATAGGCTACTGCAGGTCCTTAGAGCTGAATGCCTACAAAAGTCACTGTGTTGAATAGAGCAAAAGAATAAGCTATTTAATAATAAAAATTATTAAAAATTGAGGACTCTTTGAAGAGTTTTGGGCCAGAGCATTGGGTTTTCTTCGGCCATCCTTGACAACAAATCAGGCCCTAAAGATGGAGAAAATCTCCTAGGAGCCAGAGGCCAGAGAGGAAGGGTTCTCATCAATGCAGGTAGGTGTCCACCTACTTCCATGAGTACACAGCAGGCCGTGAGGGCAGATGCAGAGCTTGAAGAACAAGATCTCACATTCACTCTGACCAGTGTAGCTCAGCTGGTGGGGTGTTGTCCTGCAAAGTGATTCCCGGTCAAGGCACATGCCTGGGTTGTAGGTTCAGTCCCAGCTGGGGTACAAAAAACAACTGATCGATGTCTCTCTCTCACATCAACATTTTTCTCCCTCTCTTTCTCCCTCCTTTTCCTTCCCTCTGAAAATAAATTTAAAAATAACTCTCAGCACAGGCTGGTGTGGCTCAGTGGACTGAGTGCTGGCCTGTAAACCCAAGTGTCGCCAGTTTGATTCCTGGTCTGGGGTGCATGTCTGGGTTACAGGCCAGGTCCCCCGTGGGGGGCGTGTGAGAGGCAACCACACATTGATGTTTCTCTCCCTCTCTTTCTCTCTCCCTTCCCCCTCTCTAAAAATAAATAAATAACCTTAAAAAAAATATTTTTAAATAAATAAATAAATCTCACACTCAGGGAGGCCTAGCATTTGGCAGACACCCATCTGTAACAGCCATTCTTATAGGTCAACTCGGCTAGGCCACAGCTCCCATCTAAGCAAACGTGAATCGAGGTGTTGCTGCTGGGATGTTTTACAATCAGTTGACTTTAAGTAAAGGAGCTCCCCTTCCCCCTCACAGTAAGGATGGGCCTCACCCAATCAGTTGAAGGCTTTAAGAGCAAAATCTGAGGTTTCCCAAAGAACAAATTCTGCTTCAAGACTGTAGCACCAGCTGAGTTTCTAGCCTGTAGACCTGCCCTACATATTCCTAGCAGTACCACTACACAGCCAATTATTAAAGATAATCTCTTTATATATATGTATGTAGACAGACACACAGATATCCTATTCATTTTGTTTCTCTGGAGAACCCAGACTAACACACGATCTTTGATTTTATTTTTTTATACTCACTTGAGGACATGCTTATTGATTTTAGAGAAAGTGGAAGCGGGGGAGAGAGAGAGACGAAGAGAAACATCAATCGGTTGCCTCCCACATGCAGCCCTACCAGGGACCAAACCTGCAACGTAGGCATGAGCCCCGACTGGGAATCGAATCTATGACCTTTTGGTTTACAGGACAACGCTCCAAGCAACTGAGCTACACAGGCCACAGCTAATGCACAATCTTTTAAACATCAGGGTGCACAACATAAAATCTCTCTTGGCATGAGGGAAGACAAGGTAAGAAAAGTCGGAAGGGAAATGTGAATTTGTTACCAGCGTCTCAAACAGAAAATTCAATTCTTTGCCCGAAAGGCAAGTGCCATCATGTTCCCCTACCTTTGCCCCGGCTTTTCTGGAATAGCCTATGACATTGCCTTCCTTGTCCATGACTTCAATCCCTCGCATGGTCTCTAAACTTCGGGACGCAAGAACGTTCAGTGCACTGACTTGGGCTGTGGATTAGAGAACACAACAGAGATAAGTTTCAGTCTGGTGAGGGGACATCTTCTCTAGGGTCAAGCTTCTTTCTCTGATGGCTGTGCTTCCCCCTTAGCGGTCACCTGACTTGTGCTGGGTCAACCAGGCTCTGTCCTGGGCTGTGGAGCTGGGTTGGAACTGCTGGCCTATCAGTCTGGGATCCTGACTACAACGCAGCACCGGGTTCCAGCACCCCCAAAGGTCCAGCGCAGCTCCCTGCCACGATTCCGGGAGAACCCCCGGGCCCTTGAAATATGCCCCCCTTTTGGTTAAGCTCCTTTGACCAAGTTTCTGTAACAATTTCCCAAATTTTACCGATGACATCCTGCCAATTCTTTAAATTGCTATGATTCCCCAACCCAAATTTGGAGCGTGAACTAGCAAACTTGCAGGCTAACGAACTTAAAATAGTTGGTGACTATCTCAGCCACTCCCTTGGAGTTAGAGCTCTGCTTCTTCCCGGTGACCCGAGGAAAGTTATTTAATCTCCCCCTGCCTCAGGCTCCTCATCTGTAAATGCGAATAATATCACCTCCCCATAAACTGCTGTCAGGATTAATTGAAATAATATGTGTAGAGGGCTTATACAGAGAGCCTTTAAAATGTAATTTGTGTTTCCAGGTTTGTGTTCATCCTTTGACAACTGAAAGGGCATCTACGGAGAAAGTGTCGCCTCTCAAATCAAAGACCTCATTTGGGCCTGGGGGCACCCTCCAGCTGCAAATGGTGGCTGTCATCAGCCGCAGTGTGGCCAAAGGACCTGAGTGTCCCTGAAGATGGGGAAAGGCTCAAAGGCCACAAAGACTTCATGCTTCCTGCTTACCGAGAATGACGACAGGCAAGGTTTCTCTTAGCAAAGTGTTTTTCAGTGCATACTTTATTAGGAGTAAATGAGGGAATAACTAGAAAATAAGAGAAAACTCATTATTGCATGGAACCAAAACTCAGCTGAACATATGCGACAGCAGAGAACTAACACCAACATCTTTCCTACTATGGGTCAGACCACAGCCAGGGCTCTCCCTGTATTTTTATCTTTTATTTATTTATTTTTAGAGGCGGGAAAGAGAAACATTGATGTCTAAGAGATAACATCAATCAGTTGCCTCTTGCACACCCTCAACCAGGGACCTGGCCTGTAAGCCAGCCATGTGCCCTGACTGGGACTAGAACTGGTGACCTTTCGGTGTATTTTTGAATCTGTGTAGCATTGAGCTATTCTCTTGATCATCAGCAGCATGCGTGGAGGTTTTGGGAAGTGGCATTAACATGTCCAATAATTAAGCCAGGATATGAACACAGGCTTATCTGACTCTAAAGTCTACAGTTTTAACCACTGCGATACTCTGACACCCAACACACTATACAAGGTGTCCACCATGTTTTTGGAGCATGACCTAATTTTTCAAAAAGACAGCATTTGCCTAGAAACTTGGAATACTCACATAATTATAGGGGGGTGATAGGATTACAGGTGGCTTTATTTTCTTCTTTTTATCTTAGTCATGCTTTATGAATTGTTTGAAATGGAAGATAGATGTGTACTCAGAATAAAGTTTTTATTTTATTCTGAGGGGAAAAAAAAAAGGACAGAATTTTAAAATACCTACTGCAAAAAAGGTTGTAGAAGCAATTGCTCCGGCCCCTACTAGTACGCTCTCATATGGGCGACGATTCTAGAGAGAAACAAAAGTATACATTTAGCCACCAGCACAGTTTTACCCAGAAAAGATAATTAAAACAAAAACCAACTCCCAAAGACACAATACAAAACTGCAACCCTCTGGCCTCATGACACTCACATAACTTGCGTTTCCATTGATGAGGTTGAAGGCTGAACTGTAGGTGCAGAGAGACAACTGCAGAAAACAGAGGCAGACAGATCACATGTCGGTTTCAAGACCAGAATATAGCCCTGGCTGGTGTGGCTCAGTGGACTGAGTGCCAGCCTGAGAACCGAAAGGTCGCCCGTTCAGTTCCCAGTCAGGGCACATGCCTGGGTTGCGGGCCAGGCCCCACTGGGGGACATGCAAGAGGCAACTGATCAATATCTCTCTCGGACATCAATGTTTCTTTTTCCCCTCCCTCCCCCTCTCTCTAAAAAAATAAATAAAAAAGAATAGAATTTAGTAACCATAGAATTAAAATAATTGCTACCTGCGGTAAAATCATGGACTTTAGGCTTTTCCCCGGCACCAGGGACAAAAAAACCTTTAAAGAAAAAAAAAAGGCAGGAGTTACAGTGTTTTGAAGGAATGAGAGCTTGTAAGATCTCAGAACTCCCCGGGGAAGATGCAGGACAGGGCCCGCCAGGAGCTGGGACAAGGAGAGGGAGGTGTGATGCAGGGGCCACCGGCAAGTGGACAAGAGAAGCTGAAGGGGCACCAGCTAGGTACAGAGGACACCTGGGGTCTCACAGTGCCCCCTGTCCCTGAGACCTGCAGCTGAGCAAGGCGGCTGAGAAGGAAGCACTTCAAGGGGACCCAGGCACAGGGCCGATGTGGAGGAAGTGGCGGAGGAGTGCTGTCACTTGTGAGTGTGCCCTGGGAGAGCCAAGGTGGGCTGGCCCGCTGGGGGCATTTCCAGGTCCCAGGTTAGGGTCTGTGTCAGAGCGAAGGGCTTGGGCAGAGAAGGTGAAGGACCATTCTGTGGGCTTGTGGCAGGGAGCACGTCTTCACTCGTGGCTCTCCTCCCAGAGTCCTTTGTGCCTAGTAGGCGGTCAAAGAAAGGGTCACCCCGTGGCACTCTGGGTGCCTGTCTGGGCAAGTGGGGCGTGGTGTGGGTGGCAATACAAGAGGAGCAGACAAAGGTCAGAGGTAAGGAATCCATTACGGTCTATCAGGAAGTCAGGGGACAGGAGCTGGAACTTAGGAGACGAGTGGACATCTTCCTGACCACCCCAGCCTGCCTCTCCCACTGACATTAATGGCAAGGAGTGGCTTACTCACCATGGGCGCCGTGAAAGGCAGGAGAGCTGGCGAAGAGAAGAGGGTCAGTGGCTGCAGAGAGGCCAGAGGGAGTACCCTGCCCCCCCAAACCCCTCCTCTAGCCCCCTGAAGGCCTGGATGTCAAAGGATATTTTTTACTCATTCTTTTTATTTTCCTAATAAAAATAACTACATACATATGGCAAAAATTTAAATCAGTGCAGTACAGAAAGACCTAACGAGGCTCCCGCTCCCCAGCCTTCGGAGTCCCTGTCATTGAAGATAGGCAGTGTTAACTGGCACCTGTTCACCCTGCCACATGATTTCCACACATCTGGGACACCGTGATTTATAATACAAAATGCGAAGTTCCTCTCATCTCCCATTCCTAGCACAAAAGAGCCTAAGACACTTAGAATTTCCAGAGTGGGAAGAAGGCAAAGAAAGTGAGTCTCTTTGGTTCTTGGAAACATGCCCCTCCCAACCCACCTGAGCTTGTGGGACTGAGGTGACTTTTGGAAAGCCCCTAAGGCTGGGGGCTGGCTGTCAGGGGAACCAGCCAAGCGAGAGCGGGCAGGACCTTTCAGCCCTACTCCCCCAACCTCCACCTCAAGGGAGGAGAGAGGGGCTGGAAGTTTAGCTAATCACCCCCGGCCAATGACTTTGCCAGCCCGGACAAATGACAAAGCCGCCATCTGAAAATGCTACCAGGGGCAGAATGGAGAGCTTCTGGGTGGGTGAACACGTGGAGGTGCTGGTAGGGTGGCAGCCTGCTGACGGCATGGAAGCTTCTCACACCACACCAGTGCCCTCCCTGCCACAGCCCAGAACTTTCCACAGCACTGGGCCCTGCTCTCCCCACACCCTTCAAACATTCTTTTGGAGCCATGGTTTCCAGGCTCGTTGTCAGAAATCCTTCTAGGAAAAAAACCATTAAAATAAGGCGGCAGTGTTTTGTAACTCTTAGTACACCTTCCCCACCCTCTTCTGAAAATGAGCATCGGCTCACCTGCGGGCCGGAAAGGGACCGGGATCAGCTTGCTGTTGTCAGGGTGCACTGTTGACTTCAAACAGGCAAGCACGCAGGTTAGTGTGATGTTTGGTTTTGTGATTTTAGGAGGCTAAAAATTAAGAAGGGGCTGACATTTACCAGACTTCTCTTCCAAGCTTCTCGTATCTAAAAAGAGAAAAAAATAAGCAATAGCTTTTAAAGGTGGCTTGGCCACAAACCAATCTTTCCAGTCTAATTTCTGATGCTGCCTTTGCTCCACCTTTCAGGGAGCGAAGGGCGAAACTATTAAATACCCTTTCGACAGAACAAGTCAAAATAAACGAGTCAAACGAACAAATGATAATGACCACCAAAGAGATCATCCACATAAAGAAAATGACCAAAGCATAAAAAATCCTAAGTCTCTGACCTTGGAGAACTCAAGGCCAACACCTAACCTGCCCCTCGGGGGGCTGCGTGTACACAGCACACCATTAGCCAAGTCACTTGCAATGGAGCCAGCCTGTCAGCCCAGAGGTCGCAACAGGTTCTTAGAAAAACCAAGTTAAATCTGTGAGCCTTCCACAGGCTGCCTCACAGGACTCATGTTTGCGGGCTCTGGAAAGCCCCACGCACTCGTTGCAAGATGGGAAACCAATATTCAATTTGAGTCTTTTGGCGGGAATGGAATCTCGTCCCGGAACACTACCTCTAACTGGAAATAGATTCAGATTTCGGAGGCCTGTCTGAATTCTGGAATTCAACCCACAGGGCTCCAGGAACCGGCTATAGAGCATCCCCATTAATATCCATTGCATAGGAGAAACCCCATGATTTTTCTCCTTATTACTAGTTTCTACTCCTGGCACCTAATACTAACTTGGTTTATGGGAAGGCATTCTAACTACAACGAAAAAACTAACCCAATCTTGAAAAGCAGATGCCTTTTTTATAATGACAAATTTCACCAGATTTCAGACCATCTGGAGGCAGAATCAGTTAACGGCAACCACACCCAGTCTTGAACCAGGTGCACCCAGGTGCACCCAGGTGCGTACCAGGCGCACGGTAACATACCCTGTGGTCTTCCAAGTCATGAACCGTTGCATCTTCATTCGTTAACAATAGTTGCCTCAATTTCTCTATTTTTCCCTAAAATCAAATATAAAGAAATCAAGCCAAGAGCTCAGATTTAAAAATGACATGTTTATCACACCTGATTTCAAGGGACAGGTAGCCAAGGCTCTCTACCTCCTGAGAGTTTCCATCAGGATAGTGCCTTGTGTCATTCAGACCTCCGAGCCACCTCCCTGTTCTTCCCTGAGGTCAACTCTCTCAGCGAGCAATACCACTGCCTATGTGGCTGTGCAAGCAGAAACCTGGAAGTCTCTTATCTGTCACTCACCCCCACATCGATTCAGTTCAGTCTTATTTCCTCTCTTTTTTACTTAATTTGAGGGGAAAAATTATATGCAGAAAATACAAAGAAGCCCTGACCAGTGTGGCTCAGTTGGTAGGGCATCATCCCGCAAAGCAAAAGGTTGCTGGTTCGATTCCAGGTCAGGTCACATGCCTGTGTTGCGGGTTTGGTCCCCTGTCGGGATGGACACAAGAGGCAACCGATCGATGTTTCTTTCCCACATTGATGTTTCCCTCCCTTCCCCTCTCTCTAAAAATAAATAAAATATTTTAAAAAATAAGAAAAGAAAATATAAAGAATGATTATGTACTTATAATCCCTTCATCCAGAATTAACAACTGTAAACATTCAGTTATATTGGCATCTAATTTTTTTTTTTTTCCAGAAAAGAGCCATCACCCCAGTATCATTTCCCTCCCCTTTCTATCAGAGGTCACCACTATTATGAGTTCAAGGTATAAACTTCCAGTCCTTTTTTTATACTTAGACATACACGAATACATGTATCTATAAACAAATATGAAGTATTGGATTTTTGTTGTAATTTTCATAAATATGGTATTTATGCATCTTGCATTTCCACTAAACATCAGAGATACCATGTTTGCTATTTAACAGCATATATATCATATGTTTCTACTCCACATGTGTTGATAACTAAATCATCACTTTTAACAGCTAATTAATATTCTATTATATGAATACGCCACATTATGTTTTTTTACTGATAGACATTGAGGTTGTTTCCTGCTTTTCTCTATTATAAACAAGGCCAAATAGAACATCTGGAGCACAAGGGTGGGAGTGTCCCTTTGGGTCTGGCCCTGAAGGGTCAGTGCTGGTGACAGGACATCTCCACATCCCTCAGCCACATCTGGTCCAACCCTCGTCTTTCACTGGGAAGCAGAGCCATCCCGGGAACTGATCCCCTCACTTACTGTCTGGTCCCCTCTGGTCACTCACCACACGGTGACCAAAGAAACCCTCTGTAACAGAAACACTGTCCTGTAGGCTAAGTGCAAACTCGTCTCGTCTGAATGACACACAAGGACCTTCAAGAATTGCCTGGACCCCCCTCATAAAAAGCCCCCATGACTGGGTGACCTGCTCTCGTCCCCTGGGCTTTGCTCACAGTCCCCCCCACCAAACCTTCCTTCAACACCCTCCCCCTTATGACACCCTGTGGCACCCTGCCCTTCAATCTCTAGGTCAGGGTCTGAGACTGGCATTGCCAGCCCGTCTTCCCTTCCCAGGGAGGCCGATCCCCTCCGAGGCTCCAGCAGCTGGCCCAGGGCTTGGTGTTGCCTGCTAATTGGACATTCCCTTGTATTTATCGCCTTTCCAGTCTAACGAGCTCATCGGAAGGAATAAAAACACGATAACGTGTATCTGCGGATTCTGGTATTTCACGTGCTTTCAAGAGACACACAGATTTCTTGTTTCAGAATAAAACGTAAAACTCATGATCTCTGAAAACAAGAAAAATACTTACAATTGAAATGACCAAATTTGTAGGATCCAATAACTCTGTCCACTGAAGAAGTCTCTGAATAAAAGACTTAAGAGGGGGAAAGCACCCAAGAGGTTAACCAAGCAGAACAACAAAGGTACATGGTAATAACAACTGCTAACATTATTTTTGAGAACCTAATGGGGATGCAGCATCTCCTAGAAATCCCATCCTGCAGGTGAGAAACGGAGGCTTCGCAGGGCGCACGAATGGACTTTGGGGGGAGCCCAGCCAGGAAAAGGCTCCGCGGCCTGGGCTCTGAACCACTCCGCGGTCCAACTGCTCTTGAGGAACCAAACGGCTGCCACGTGGAGAATGGAGATGCGGTTTGCTCCCAAAGCCCCTGAACTTCACAGTGGTTCCAGCTTTGAGTCCTGGCTCTGCAGGGACAGCTTAGGCCTCCTGTCCCTTCTCTATTTCTTCACCTAAAAAAACCACGCTGGCCCCTACTTGTAATTTATTTATGTAAATAAGGGCTGGAAGAGAACACCCTAGAACGCTGCTGCCCAATTAGCCACGTGTGGCTTTGGAATCTGTGCTATGTGGCGAGGCCGAATCGAGATGCACTGTATGTACAAAATATACACAGGATTTCCAAGATTTTACCATAATTCGAAAAAAGAACGTAAAACACCTCACTAAATAATTTGATATAGATTACAAGCTGAAATGTTAACATTTTGTATCTACTGGGATAAATACAATATATTATTAAAATTAACTTTGCATGTTTCTTTTTGCCTCTTGTCCTGTGGCTACTGGAAGATTTTCAATTATCTATACGGCTCCCATCATGTTGCTAACGGACAGCGCCATACTAGGCACCACCTGAAGGCGGGGCCTGTGGTACCTGTCTCACAGCGTGAGTGGCCCAGCCTATGGCGCTGCGGACGCTGGGGGCTGCCGGGAGGACCTGTTTCTCTCCAACCAGAGGCGACCCGACGCTCAGCAACAGCTTAGGCAGCATTGGGCAGACACATGCGAAAGGAGATTGACTCCTCTTGTAGGGCGATCTGCAACGTGACTTCGTGGTGACCCTCCCTAGCCAGGCCCGGGGCAGAGTTGACACTCGGGTAACAGCCGTGGACGTCGGCATCCGGCAAGCTACGGTTTCCCTTCGTCCCCTCCTGGGGTCTGAGGTGGGGAGGCGGGTAATGAGACCACGTGGCCTGCCCAAGGTCACCCGGGCCAGCGGGTGACTCCATACGTCGCGCCCCACCCCCAGCCGCGCGTCCCGGGCCGTACTTGGCGTTCCGTGATCCAGAAGCGCACGTTGGGCTCCATGAGGCCGGCCGTGACGCTGCCCCGCGGGAGCCGTGTGCCTCCGCGCTTCCTCCTACTCCTGCTTCTCTTCCTGGGAAACTACGTGATGGCTGGAAAGGCCGCTGCCACTGGGCCAGGCACGGAGGAGGAGCCGGGCGGCGTGCTCCGCCCCGGGCGCGCGAGCGCCCCCTGTTCCTATCCCCGCCCGCGGAGCCCGCGCGCCGCTACTCTGTGTTACACGCGACAGCGCCCCGGGTCCGTGTGCTCGCTGCTCTGTGTCACCGTCTGCGAGCTTCCCGGGCCCTGCGCACCTGCTGCTCGGCGTCACCGCCTTCTAGTGCCCCAGTCCCCACGCACCCACTCTTTCTATGAGCCCACCTCTGCCACAGACCAAGTCATCTGGACCCTGCTTCACCCCTTAGGGTAGCCTGGGCCCTTTCGGAGCGGGAGCGATCAACTACAAGAAAACCCCCATATCGCAGCAGCAACCTAAGCTTTCAGACATACCCTTGAAAATCCCTTCTGTTGCTGTCTGAAGTCCAGTGTACAGATATTGGGAATAGTCAAAACTGGCTAGGTAATTGTCGTGGCCCAGTGAAAATTGAAAATGTAAAGAAACTGAGAAAAGTCGACATCAGAGCATTAAAACCAGGTAGGGCCTTGAAGCTGGGCAACAGTTTTTTCTCCAGCTCTGGGGCAACACCACGTCTTTCTGCTGAATACTGGATCAAGCAGGGGCAATTGGTGGAGGAAAAAAAATACACCTTCCTTCTCCCTGTCGCCTACTTCCCCCTCACCCTCCCTGGGATGGGCAGGGGTTGTGTGTGTTGGTGGAAGCCAGTGTGGGTGTTTAGGGTGATGAGGAGGGGAAGGCGTGGCCCTCAGGAGGGCTGGGCTGGGGGCCCAGCACCACCCATTCTGTAGTTGTGTGACCCTAGTCAGGTCCATCTCCCCAGGTCTATTTACTCACCAGTAAAACAAGGCTAAGAATTGTACCCATCTCCAGGTTTGGGCCACTAACACCCAGCCAGCCTGTTCCCTCCCTTGCCTTCCCCTCCAGGAAGGTGCAACCAGATCATGGTTTTCTTCAGGCCCATGTGCCTCCACAGCTTCTTTTACTCAGCTGACCTGGTTCACTTTTCAATAACCTTCAGAAGTTCATCTCCTCTTTCCGGAAGGCTTCCTGGACGCCCATAGCTGGATAGAGCCCCTCCTCACCACACTGTTCCCACATGACCCAGGAGTATATTTATTGTACCCTAGTAGTTAGCACACTGGTATTATCCTGTTGGCTCTACCCTCAGGTGTCACAAACCCAGCCTGGCTGACCTCTCTGCCTGCTCCCCTTTGGATCCTTCTGGTCTCGTCTTAACAAAGGAGCTAGTGGGCCTATTAGAACAAGTTGCCCTAACTCTTCTCAAAACCCTCTTGGTATTTCCCATCTCAGAAGAGAACCCGGAGTTCTTAGTGTGCCCCGCGGCACTCTGGGCTCACTACCATTGCCCTCCTTCACTGCTCTGTGCAGGCACATGGCCCTCCAAGTCTCCATCCCCACCAAAACCTTTGCTTCAGGCCTTTGCCTGGTACGTTCTCACCCCCCCCACTCTGTACACGTGATTTCGTTTGAGCCTCATCATAACCCTGACACGGGCACAACTGCTGCCCTCATTTCACAGTCGGGAAAACAGACCTGGAGAGACCGCTCCTCCCAGAGACCTTCCCTGACAACCCCACCGGGCACACCTGCACCTCGCCCGCTGTCTCCCTTCCAAACATTCCATGTGTTGTTGCACTGTTTCCCCTCTAGAATGTAAATGCATGAAGGAAAAGGTCTGTCACTTTTTGGTCACTCCTGTGCCTCCACAACAGCACCTGGCACGCAGTAGGCACTCAAGGGTTTACTGAAATAGAGAATAAATGCTCCCGCTTCTCTTGCCCCCTGAGTTCCTTGGGTGCGGCACCACTGTCCTAGTCGTCTTTGTGGGCCCCGAGTTAAGTTAAAAGCTCAATAACAGTTTGTGGATATAGTCGAAAGGAAGACTAGACCCCACAAGGCTAGACCTGAACCAACGATTCATGGTGTTAACAATGCAAATATTTTTAAATGTTTATTTTTTAATGATATACTTTACATTGAGGTCTTCAGAAAACATCATTACATTGATTTCAAAATGCAATTCAATTCAATAAATATCCTCTATAATTACCTTCAACTGATCTTTAGAAATATATGCAGACACCAAGTCGGCTAACAAAAAAATAAGTAAAATAATTATATGAACTACAAATCTCAGGGATGAGGAACATGCATGATCAGTTAAGTCACTTTGCCACTGTGATTTTTTAAAAACATGATTCACATTTGTTTCATCATATATATCTCCAATCCAAGAGTTAAATTTAAATTAGACTGCTGATGCTAACAACTTAAAACTATCATCTTTTGTTACCTTAAAAGAAAATTCAGTTTAACACAAAGAAATTCATGAAGAAAATTTCAGGACCCTTGATCAGAGGCTTTTGATACTTGTATGACACTGGTGGACACAAAGCTTCAAGTAAGCTTAAGAGTATTTTCCATTGAAGACATGATCAAAGTAACAGGTGAACTAGGCAGTCCATAAATAGCTAGCCATCAAGAAGTTAGCAAGGAAGGACTCGTGTTAGTAACTGTTTAAAAAGCATTAGCCAATGTTACAAAGACAAACATTTATGAATACAACAAGCATAATTGCTTTTTTGCCTTCTATACACAGTCATCTTTGAAATGGTAAAAGTGAGTTCCAAATGTGGTTCTTTTGAGAAGCTGGAGGTACCCGTGGGATGATCTACTGATTGACCTTCTCAAAGTATTCTTTGGAAGCAGTTGGGTGTGGCTTGATCTGAAAATACAAACATTTAATTAGTTAACTGACTTTAAGATAATAGTTTCAAAAGTCAGTTGAAAGCTCGTAATTTTTACCCTGAAGTTCTTTAACTTCTTAAAGGCTAGTCTGTTTCCTTTTAAATACATGGATGAAAGTTACATTAACGGCTTGCCTAACTCCTGGTACCACCTCAGCAGCTTCACCCATTCACACACCATCAGCAGCCCTGCCCCAAGGGCGGACTCTTTAGGTGGCTCTCCCAGCCCACAGCCCTGAGGCAGGGGGGACCCCAGGGCTTTTGAAAAGGAAACCTACTGTAGGAGAGTCCGGGGTCCAATTGGCTGGGCACACTTCTCCATGGACTTCCACGAACTGGAACGCCTTTACCAGGCGGAGGGTCTCCTCCACGCTTCGGCCCACTGGGAGGTCATTGATACTCAGGTGCTTGATGACTCCATTGGGGTCAATGATGAAGAGACCTCTGCATCACAAGGTGTCCCCATTAGCGTCTCAGCAGTGCCAGAACGAGAAAGACTCTAACTTCTACCCTCTTCTGTCTTTAATGCTCCCTAATAAAGCATTTACTGAGTGCTGTCATATGCTTAAAAACAAAGTTTTCATTGTTAGGCAGGACTGGACCAGGCCGCCATGGAAAACAGGCAAATGTGGCCTGAATGTCACGCAGTATCTAAAAGTCACGGAGAGCAGAGACTTCTTTCCTTATTAGTGATGCAGCCAGCATTCTCTGGGCTGCTGTATCAGCTCTTGGCAAGAAACCACAGGCAAATGGGAAGGGACACAGATGTATTTTATCTGTATTCAGTAAATACTTATGAAATGAGTGAATTCTTGGGTAAATGGGGGGGGGGGGAGGAGAGGAACGGGAAGGAATCCCGTGGGAAAAATCTTTGCAGAAAGCGGTCTATACAGAGCAGAAATCTAAAGGAAGAACCCACCGGAAACTTCTATTTTATTCACTAATGTCAGCCAATAAATTCAATAAAAATTTAAAATCAAATACATAAATAAAGGAAGAACCAAGCCCATCACTGTTTATCACTTGGCAGCTGTGCAATGCGATGACCTGCCCCGTGGTCTGTGTTCCTCTTCAGTGTTGGTATCACTATGACATGTGCAGATATGGGTAAGGCACAGGTTTTAACCGTCTATCTTCAAAAGGTGTGGCATTCCAAGTGTTAATCACTCTGGGAAAAGGTGAGTTAGAGAAAACTCACAAGGTAGAAAGGTGCTCCTCCCTCCCTGGGCCTGGTCCCTGGAGGCCTAGGCTCTGAGGCTCCGGGAGGTGAGCCCCGCTGGAGTCCATGGGGCTGTACAGACCTGGAGCAAGGATGGAGCGGGGCCCACGGACTCCAGAAAGCCTTATCTTACAAGCCAGACTTGGCTCCTCTCCCTTGTCAATCCTAACTGAAACCAGCAGGGAAGTAACTGCAGAATTACAAGACCCGACAGGAAGGATCCAGGAAGGAAAAAGCCAGTTCTGTTTCTCCTCCCCTTGCCAACTCCATCAGAGCTGCGTTTTACTTTAGTAAAGAAAGACAGTAATCCTTGGAGTAAAAGAGGCCCAAGTTCCAAGGTGGCTCCCAGAGCTAAAATTCCAGGTGTGATGCAAAAGGAGACCCGGTCAGAGATCAGCTACCAGGTAGCGCGGGAGAGCCACAGCGAAGTGGGGTCCTCGCCTGCTTCCTGGTGGTGAAGTTCCACCCACACTCTCCTTCACTCAGCGGCCACCAAGATGCCAGCCCTAAGGGAAGCTCTCCTCCCTCCCCGGAAGTTGCGTTTTCATGGAAGACTGCTAAAGACAGAAAGCAAGCTTCCCCACTCACAGGAGTGCAGATCTAACCACAGAATGAACGAGGACAGAAATGACATTCTGAGACAGGGGTTGTAACAGCTGCCAGGACCTGTGCTAAAACCTTCAGTGGCCTCATCTTGCTTAGTCTTCACAAGCAACCTGGGAGGCACATTCTCATTTTAGTTATGAAAAAACTGGGACTCAAAGATGTTAAATAACTTGCCCAAAGTTATACAGTTACTAAGGAGCTGAGTCGTTTTTTTTAAAGATTTTATTTATTTATTTATTTTCAGAGAGAGGGCATGGGAGGAAGAAAGAGAGGCAGAGAAACATTGACGTGTGAAAGATACATCGATTGGTTGTCTCTTGTACTCCTCCAATCGGGGACCTGGCCCACAACCCAGGCATGTGCCCTGTCTGGGAATCGAACCAGCGATCTTTTGGTTCCCAGGCTGGCTCTCAATCCACTGAGCTACACCAGCCAGCACAAGGAGTCGAGTTTAAAAAAAAACAAACACAAACATACTCTGGCTGTTTTTGATTCCAGGGCTTTGTGAGAGCTCACCCATTCCAGGATACTGACTCCTGCCCCACCGGTCCCCCTCCTCCAAACACGCCAGGAATGTGCCCCCCCCAAAAGCAGCTCAGACGGGAAGAGTACAGCGGTGTGACCATCAAGACACACTATCCTTCTTCAGACACAGGGTGGTGCGGGGGGCACACATGTCTAGGCCGGTTCTGAGAGAATGCCAACCCTCCTAAGAGGCATTCGTTGGTGCTTATTAAAAAGCTAAAATTAAGGACTTTTGGTTTTCAGAATGCTTTACCAAGGTCTCTACAAATATCTCTATAAATTCCCTAAGAAGTGGGATGATGCTAAACATGAAAAGCAGTTTTAAGTTTCTAAGGAACAGGATCTTACCTTAGTGCAAGACCAGGACCTTCTAACAGCACGCCATAGTCTCTGGAAATCTGTTTAGTCAAATCTGACAACAGTGCGATGTTCATGTGGCCCAAACCGCCATTCTAATAAAAATGCAAACAGACTCGTTGTTAGGTGGGTGCCCTCACAGCGCTCTTGGCCTGGTAACACGACGCCTGAGACCAGCAACAACAGCAACAGGCAGCAGAACCGAGCACCAACAATGGGCCAGGCCCTGCTCTCAGCTCTGTTAACTTACTTCCGCTTCCCAACTATCCTGGAATTGATACTATTATCACCACCTCTTCAAAGATGAGGAAACTGAGACAGACAAAAGTTAAGTAACTTGCTTTAGGTCACAGCTATAAAGATACAGAAGCAGGATTTAAACCCAGCTAATACTACAGACCTTTCTTTTTCTAATTCCTAAAGTATGTACAATAGTTGAAGATTAATTTCTGAAGCATAAAAATGGAAAGGTATTAAAAAAAAGCTGAACAATTTATTATTGATAGTCCAGCTTCTTAACTAAAAATTTTGATTCTCCCAAGCAAGTTTTTAGACAAAAATACCAATCATGCAGAACAGTGAGGTCAGAGAACCTACCCACCATCCCACAAGCCATGCAGAGGGCATGGGATCTACAAGTCACAGGCGACAGCCTCCGCTGTCCCCGCGCCCTGCTGAGCCAGCTCTCCGTCACTGTATGCCTTGGAAAACACAAGCGCAGTGGAGGTAATATGCATGCAATGCCAAGGGAGATGTGGACACAGGCAATAGACTTTGCCAGTAGGTGAGAACCTACAAACAGCCCATTTCAGACACGTCGTGTTTTAACAACTTCCAGGTTAGTCTTTGATGGGATCTTTTCTGTTTTTAAGATCCTAGGAGCAATGGCAGGACGAACGACGTTCGGACCTTCCTCGGTGTGTTGATCCAGGCCAGGTGGCTGAAGTGGGAATCCACAGAAACGGCGACAACTTCACAGTTCACATCACGGAACTCGTTGGCTTTGTCACTAAAAGCAATAATTTCCGTAGGACACACAAAAGTGCTAGAGAAAAAGGGCAGAAATTCTCATCAGAGAATTTAAAAACAAAGATTTAAAATATGAACAAGAGTCTAAAAACTAGTTTAATTTGCCTAAAGGTAAAAAGGCAAAATGGCTAACCATCCTTATTGGACACATCTTTCTGTTTAAGAACCATGTCCAAAAATGGGGGCGAAGGGGTGGGAGGCAGATTCTAAGAATGAAGAACAATTTTAATTAAATAAAGTGGTTTTATGAGAAAACGCCGTTTATCACCTGTGCTTTTCTCACTTTCTTCCAGACCAGTGAAAACTGCCCCCAGACCAACCCGCAGGGGCTGCTGCTCCTGAGCCCACCAGGCAGCCCACGGAAACCCCACTGCATTTAAAAAAAACGCCTCGCCATCCTCTAAATTTGTTACTTGAAAATTAGCTACTGATGCAACCTGTATCTACAAGGCCATCAGCGAGAAAGGCTCAGAAAGAACCTCCTTGACAAGAAGCCTACCTAGAGACAGGCAATGTCAGCATGCAGGCAGGGAGCTTTGCTTGCTCTCAGAGTGACAGTAAAGTATCACAGAAATGACACTTACAAATCCAAAGGGTAGAAGAAAAGCACCAAGTATTTCCCCTTGAAGTCATCAAGGCTCAGTTCTTTGAACTCCCCGTTGACAACGGCTGTACCCTTAAAGTAGGGCGCGTGCTGGGTCACGGCAGGAGCGTGGTATGAGGAACCTGAAAACCCCCCGAAGGCATCTAAGTTCATCATTTGCTAATGCAAGCGGCTAGTTGATTTTATTTAAAATTCTCACAATAATTAATTACTAATATAAATTAACTAAAAGATTCAGTTTAACTCTGTCTCATATAAATTTTTTTCCTCCCATAGTTCTAGATTGCACACAAATCCAGTTGAAAACTGCTATGGCAAACTAAAAAGATGGTCAAAGATGGTAGGGGTGACGTGCGACTGGGTATGGCGCCTAAATATGGTTCAGAGTTTGCCAAGCCCCGATGGGACAGGGCCAATGGCATGGAGGAAGGAAGAGGGCAAGTGTGGGGTCTGGCCCGTGGCACAGTGTCACAGAACAGAGAGAGCAGGTATGGCGGAAGGATGAAGAGTGGTAGACAAAGCAAGAATGGCTGAAGGCCATGCTATTAGGGCCCTGAAATATCAGGAAGAGTTTGTTCTTAAAAGAAGAGATAAAGGAGTTACTGGACGTTTTCAATTTTTCCAGTTGGAGACGGAAGATAAGCTGGCTGTTCTTAGGAAGATTAGTCTGGCAGGGGAGGGGACTCCTTCGTTATCTGAGTGAGAAGTATGGAGGGAAGGGAGTGGCAGAAGACCAGGAAGAATGAAAAGAATTCAAGGGCTGTGTCAGAACTGGAGAGGGCTTGCTTCTATCTAGGAATGAGGGACAAAGGAGATCAAGAGACAGAAGAGAACACACGTCAAAGTGCCTGGGCCTCAGGAGCTGCTGGAAATGAGAATTTGAAATAGATAACAAAGTTTTAAATCTGGGGCATCAAATTACTATTAGAAAATTTGTAATGCTCCTCAGTGGTAAAATTGGAAAACTTTTTAGAACACTGGTCCCCAATCTTTTTGGTACCAGGGACAGGTTTCGTGGAAGATAACTTTTCCACGGTCGGTGGTGGGGAGGGTCTTGGGATGATTCCAGTGTATTACATTCAAGCTCACCACCTGCTGTGCGGCCCCGTTCCTAACAGGCCCGGACTGGTACCAGGCCACAGCGCGGAGGCTGGGGACCCCTGTTTTAGAACATTTCACCTGTACACAAAGGCTTTGCTAAAGTATAGCCCCCAGACCATTACAAGCTTTTTCAAATATTAGACAAATCTAAAGGGGGCATTTTCAAATACTACTCATTATCTGAGGCTTATCTTTGCAAAGCCCACATTCCAGAAAATGGAGCGTAAATCACAAGAAACAGCTATGGAGAAGTCCACAGACTAACATGGGCAACTGGAGCCTGCACACAGATTTGAATGCAAAAGCCTCAGTTCCTGACAGGCTGCCTGCCACTCCCACTGACCACACACCCGTCCCTGCCTCAGAAGGCATCTCAGTCACCCCCCACCCCGCCCACCATGTTCCCTGACTGGGATTCAAACCTGTGGTAACCAACAAGGAAATGGACACAAAGGCAGTTTGCCTCAGTGATTCTTGACCCTGGCTGCACATTAGCATCACTTGGTGAGATTTAATTAATTGATGTTTTTAAAGATTTGTTTTTATTTTTAGAGAGAGGAAGGGAGGGAGAACAAGAGGGAAACACCAATCTGTTGCCTCTAGTGCGCCCCCTACTGGGGACCTGGCCTGCAACCCAGGCATGTGCCCTGACTGGGAATTGAACCAGTGACCTTTCAGTTTGCAGGCCGGTACTCAATCCACTGAGCCACACCAGCCAGGGCAAAATCACTTTGAGAGATTTTTAAAAACACTGATATCCTGACCTCACTCCACAGAGTGACTTACTTTGTCTGGGCTGGGAACAGGGCAGGGTATGTTTTTAAAAGCTCCCCTGGTGAGTCTAATGTACAGCCAGGGTTCAGAGCCCCTGTCCGGGGAGGATGACTCTTGTTTCCATTCATTACCTGGGTCAACACAAGGCATAACACTTACTGGTGCTAAAGGCACATTTTGCTTGGCTGGAAGCTGACCACAACACGTTTGTCACGCCTGTTCTTCGAGGAGCAGCAGGTCTAAGGGCTGCAGAGGCAGAGGTGCCCCAAGGAATGGCGCTCACGTGTCGGGCAACCTGGGAAGAGAAACAGCTTATATTAGGAAGTTGTCTCAGAATAGTGGCTAAAGGCTGGCCCTGCTGAGAGGGCACAGGCCAATGGTGGCCTCAGCTGTCCTTGTTCCTACGAACCAAAGACCAAACCAAAAACTCTCAAGAGCATGGATTGGGTCTCCATGTTAACATTCCCTTCTACTTCCTTCTCCCACAAGAATGCAAGACATGTTGGTCATGGGTACAAAGCTGCAGTTACGTAGGATGAATAAGTCTAGAGGGCTAATGCCGAGCATGATGACTATACTGAATAATACTATACTGAACGTTGGGAATATGCAGGGAGAGCAGGTTTCAGGTGCGCTCATCACACGCACACACACAAAACATGTGAAGAGAGATGTTAATTAGTTTGACTGTAGTAATTATTTCATTAAGTATATGCATATCAAATCATCATGTTGTACATCTTAAATATAATTTTATTTAAATATATAAAAATTAAAAGAAAAACAAAACACCGGGGAGGGTGCTGTCATAAACAAAGACTCCATGCTCTTAAAAGCAACACAGAGAGTTCAAAAACCAGGGGGACTTGGGCAGGCCCCGTGAATTTAAGCCTCTTTGCCAGGACGATATGCTGAGAATCTATCATGTCAAGGTTTTACTTAGAAAAGACAAGGCCTTTCTAGCCCCACAGACGAGCAAACATGTAGAGCAAAGTTCAGCCTCTAGGAAAGTTTGGATGGGACTCAAGGGAAATGTTTGCTCAATTTTACTGCCCAGCATGACTCAGGAAAAAGAACCTGCGTTGCCCCCCGCCAAGGGAAAGGGGGGTGGGGTGGGTGGGTAGCACGAGGGTACCAGGCTTTGCCGGAAAAGCAGCGTGGGAGCAGCCCAGGGGCGTGGGAAGAGAAAAGTGTCTTTTGCGTTTTAGCACTTTGGTTTCCATCCAGCAGTTAGCGGATGCTCCCAGCCTCACCTTGATGGAGGCATCATTCTTTCCATCTTAAGGACAGTGAACTGAGATTCGAAAAGGCGAAGTCACTTTCCAAGGTCATAGAGTCTGTTTCAGAAACGGGACCCGAGGCATATCGCCCCCTTCCAGGACCAGGACCATGTGCTCAGGTGGAGAGTGGTCTGGGGACCTCCGACTTCGAGCGAGGATGCATTAGGGGAGGGGACCACGAGGAGAGGGCAAGAGAAAGGCGGTTCTGCGCAAGCGCAAGGAGCTTTCCCTGGAGGAGGAGGCCCCTGGGTCCGTTACCCGCTGATGCCTTCCAAGAAGAGCGAAATATCCCCCGGACCACAAAAGAGCGGGACTTTGTCTGGAAGGCACGTTCTCGGAGCCACCACAGTGCCTCCGCACTTGTTCCCAGCTGGCAGCCACTCACCGTAGCCCGCAGCAACCTTCCCACCGTGGCCGCCATCTTCAGAGCACACAGGAGCCGCGAGGAAGACCGCGGAGCAGAGGAGGCGGGGCCTGGGGGCGGGCCCGGAAGGGGCGGGGCGGGGCCTCGCCGTGAGGGGGCGGGGCCTGAGCTGGGGGCGTGGCCTGAGCTGGAGCCGGGGCGGGGAGGGCCACAGCCTTGCCGCGTTTTGGTTGGGTCCCTCCGCCCGTATTGTGAGGGGGAGATTCACATTGTGGTTTTTGAGTAGCTGAATACAACAGTAAGATTTTGTCTCTAATTTTTACCCCAACCTAGAAAGGTCTAATTCAGGTGGGGAGCTAGATAGTCGTTTCTGTGTTTGCTACTGTTTTTTTGTTGTTGCTGTTGTTGTTAACCTGTATAAATGACTGTTCATAGCTGTTTCTTAAAGGGATCTCTTTCCTACTTGGGCTTCTGAATGAAATGGAATTAACTTCAGTGCAATTTTAGTCTATTAACAAGCTAAGAGGGTCAGCCACGCCACAGTTTGAGTGTCCTGAAAACCTTTGGAATGGTGTGTGGGCTTCCATTTTGTCCTCCCTTCCCAAAATTGGGAGAACGGGGACAGATTCAAAACTTATTTTCTGTTGCTTTAGTAAAACCAAGTCCTTGAGTGAGCATGGTACTTTGGAGCAAACTCATTAAACAGATTAAAAAAAAACCCCTCACAGTGGCCTTAAATGTGACAAGTGGTAGACTCCACGTGGGTATTTTCTAAACCCCAGTCATTGCGTTACCAACCCAGTTGGTTGAGTCTGCATATCACCTACATATTATTCGCTGTGTAAGTTGCTCTCCTTGGATACACTCGGACCCTCTGCTCTTTTGTCTGAACAGTCCTAGTGGGTTGGGACCCTGCAATTCCGGTTCACCGTCCTGCGGACCTGCCTGGTGTCGCCCACTCTGTCCTCCCTTTTCCTCCTGCCGAGCTTGTGGGAAGAAGGCAGCCACTTAGTTCTCCCAACCAGAAGAGTCTTCAGACATTGCCAAGTGTCCCCTGGGGAAAAAATCACCCCGGTTAAAACACAAAATAAAACAAACAACAACAACAACAAAACACTGCCCTAATGGCTAATGGCATGGCCCTGGAGCCACCAGGACATGGAACCAAACTCCTGGTCTGTCGCTACAGTTTTGGAGGGTAGGGCACGTACCTAGGGCATCATGACTCCCTCATAGCTGGACCGGTTGCTTTTCTCCACCTCAATTTCCACATCTATCAGTAAACTTAGAACAATCATAGCATCTACCTCAAAGCATTAGCTGTGGGAAGGGAGACAACATGCAAAAAACTTAGCTGGCCCTCACTAGGATTAGGTAGATATTCGTTATAATTTTGCGCCCAAGCAGACAGGCTACTTTTTCAAACAGCTGACAAAGGCTTTGAATACATCTTCTTTCTCTCCAAGTGATGAAGTTCTTCCCCCTTTCATTCAGGAGTGAAGGATGAGGCTTTTGCTCAAGTACTGATTTGCAAGGAGGCTCAGGTTATGCTCTTCTGGAAGCTAGAGGGACATGAAGTCAAGGAGAGGGAAGACGCCAGGTACCTACCCACTTGCTCTCCGCAGCCCAGTCTTCGCCTTAAAGCTCGTGCAGTAGGCTCTTACTCAGGAAACCTTATTTTTTTTGAGTGGTTTTTTTGAAACCTTATTTTAGCCAACTTTGAGTAATAAGGATAACCACAATGGTAAGATGCTTGTCAGGCCCTTGTCTAACTGAAACGAGTTTTAGCTGTGATTAGAAAGAAATCTTGACCATTTCTAAGATGGATGTGAATTTCGTTTTTTTGTCACTGGGTGTCCAATAGCTGGCACAGTTTTGGAAAAAAGGTCTCTTCTACTGTATTAACTTCTGTCTACGTTTTTAAATGTTTTCTTTTAATACGTGGTTTAATTTTCCTTTTAAGAATGTGCTTCCTTATAGGTATCTTTTTGCCTTTTCCCTCAATGTAAAGCGCGCTAGGATGTTTTGTAATTGTTATCTCCATAAGTCTCGATTATTCCACAGTCATTCTCCCCGTCGGCACTTTAGGCGTGTTCAGCAAAGCATTGCTGTCTCCTCCCACCAGCCAGGGGCCCAACACAGCAACCCAGTTGTCAGGTCCTTTGACCACTGGAGAGGAAGTGTTACTGCTTATCACTTCTTTTTCAAACAAGATGGTTACAGAGCTTTCCTCAAGACACACAGGGATTCATCGGCTCAGGGACAGTAGAACCAGGAACTCTCCGAGCGGACGCGTTCGTCTCCTGGTCTGCTGATGCCTGTCTAAAGGCTAACTTCCCTTGCCTGAACAGGAATGAAATCCCCTAGAATCTCAGGCCAAGAGGCCCAGAGGGAATTTCGTATGTGACCCTTCCTGTGGCCTGTTGAGAATTGTGGAGTGAGTGGCCTTCAGCTAATCTCGGCCCACAGCCAAAACTTCTGGGAGGACGCACAGAGCCCTCCATTTCTGCATCCCAAGACAGATAAACCATGACTGGCGTTTGATCACCAATATCAGCTCTGTTCTGTCAAGCAGTCCCTGACCACCCCTCTGTCCGTCCCGGTTAGAGACCCTCTTGCATGCCTAGAAAGCATTGGGCCTTTCTCATTCTCATTGTCCGTGTCATGTCACAATGGAATTTCCTTTCGCCTTGTCTGGGCCTTAAGCATACTGTGAACTTCTGGAGGGTTGAGGTCATGTCTCATTCATCTCTGTGGCCCCAGGGGCTAGGCTAGTGCCTGGCTTATACCGACTTGGTCAGAAATAGTTTGGCAAAAGAATGAATAAACAGTGGCTGACATGGTAGCCAACGTTCTTTGCACACTCATTCTGGAAAAAATATCTTTCTATTCAGTTTTCTCTAGCTGTCACAACAAGAACACAAATTGTTTCCCTAAAGAGAAAAAAAAAAAACAAAACTGACCTTGTCCTCATTACCAAAACAGTAGGAAATAACTGAAATTCTCCCTTTTGAGTTTGGGAGAAGAATTTCTGGGCCTCGTTGAGGGAAAGGCAAATGAAAAGATATATGCTACTTTTTATGATGATTAGGAAAATACCTCCCTGGAACCACAAGTTAACGTTCTGGTAGCTGGGGCTACAATTAGAGATGGCAAACATCACTCTGGGTTTTGCTGAGTTCTTCCTCTTTCCAGGGCAAACAACATGGGGACCTGGGCCCAGCTTCTCCTCACACACAACTGGGGGCCCCCCACTGAGCCAGCCTTAACAGGACAGGGGGATGGAGCCCATACAAACGCTCTGAAAAGGGTAAGGTATAGCCTATAGGTTAAGTGCTTGGTGACCTGGTGCCGATATTTCTGAAATTTGGTGATGAAAAGGAGACACAGACTCTTCAGGCAAGCAGTATTTTTGTTCTTGTTGTGGTGGGAGGGATGGAGGAAAAATTCATCTGAAGGGGAAGAGGCTCTTTTATTTTGGGAAAACACTTTGAGGGGCTTTCAGTTACTTGAAATCAAGCCGAAGTCCTACTCTGGAACGGAGAAGCTGGGAATAAAGAGGGGTTAAACTGTGCTGCGTAACACTTGAAAAGGATGTCTTCATCAGGGAAGGGTGGTGGCTGGGAATTAATCTCTCTTAGGGAAAAGCCAGGGGTGCGGGGGCGGGGGGCGGTTGGAGGAGGAGGGCTGGGGTGGGGAAAGAAAGGCAAGATCAAGGACGCTCCATATGGTGTTCTCCCAAGTCAGATGCTGGGAGCCAGGGGGAGAGGTGCGGGGCGGGGGTGGGCAGCGGGAAAGATGCTGGGGGGGACGGAAGGGAGAGAGGTTGAGTAGACATGGGGTGAGAGGTTGTGCTGAAAACAAAGACGCTGTTCAGGTTTCATTTTGTCTTTGGTGCCTTCCAAGTGGACCAAATGACAGCAGAGAGGGAGGATGAGAGGGCAGCAGGAAGGGAGCTTGAGGAGCAGGGTCTGGTCAGTCGGGTGGCAAAGCTCCTCCCTCAGAATTACCTAATGGAAGCGGTTAGCGTGGCTCAAAGCCTCCCTTCCTTGGTGGAGTCCCACTCCATCCTCGAGCCTGTTTGCCTATTGTCCACTAGTGTCGTGATTTTGTCCATGCTAATGCTGGGGTCCTCTGTTTGTTGGTTTCTCTTCCCCTTCTCCTCTGCCTTTCCTTCTGTCCATTCATCTGTGCCCCTGGACTCTAGGCTTCCTGCCAATATTTTCTCCTTCTGCAAGATCAGTGCCATTTGGTAAAAACGCTACAACGTTTCTATCATGCTAGAAGACCATGCAGTAGAGTGGAATCTAGGACTCACCTTGGAGTTCCAACTCTGCAACTTTTTGGTCATGCACCCTTTTATTTCTCTGGCCTGTAATTTCCTTATCTATAAAATTGAAATAATACCTATCTATGAGCCCTGGCTGGGTAACTGAGTTGGTTAGATTATTGTCCTGATACACCGCGTTTATGGGTTTGATCTCCCATCGGGGCACATACAAGAAGCAACCAATGAATGCATCAGTAAGTGGAGCAACAAGTTGATGTATCTGTCTCCCATCCCCCATTCCTCTCTATCTAATCAATAAGTAAGAAATTTAAAAATAAAAATGGAACAAAAAAATAATAACTACCTACTAATCAGATAGGTGAAAGCACTTTGAAACTTGTAAATTGTTAGCACATTAATAATTATTCATCACTTGGTCTAATTAAAGTATTTCTCAATTATTACTTGGATTAAAATTTTAATTTTTATTGAGGTAAAATTCGCAGAACATAAAATTAACCATTTTAAAGTGAGCAGGTCAGTGACATTTAGTATATTCACAGGTTGGGGAACCACCGCATTTATCTAGTTCCAAAACACTTTCATCACCCCAAAATAAACCCCATACCCTTGAATCAGTTCCGCCCCCATTCACCCTGCTCCAAACCCGGAGCAGTCACCAATCTGTGTTTTTGCCTCAATGAATTTTCTGTATATTTCATATAATTAGAATAATATAACGTTTGTCCTTTTGTCTCTGGCCTCTTTCACTGAGAAAAATGTTTCTGAAGTTCATGCACCTTGTAGCATGGATTGCTATTTCATTCTTCTTTATGGCTGAA